CCGTTTGTAACTCATCGAAATAATCATTTTAGACCCAACAAAGCCCTGTCCGTCCATCTGTCCGACTGTTGTAATCACGCTACAGTCTAAACGAATTAAGATGGGAAGCTAAAATTTTGCACAAATCCCTCTTTTGTCTGCAGGCAGGTCAAGTTCGAAGATGGGCTATATCGGTCCACGATATCGTATAGCCCCCATATAACGGTACCCCCCGATATTTGGTATTTTGATTATGTTAGTCACATTTTTCAATGGAATTGTCTGAAGGAGTACCTTGTGGGTACTTTATACCTCGGAAGAGAATTATCTATATATGTTCACGATAGCGTATAGCCCCCATATAACGGTACCCCCCCCCCCCCCATATTCGGTATTTTGATGATTTTAGCCACATTTTTCAACGGAATTTTCTAATAATCCACACAAGGAGTTCCTTGTGAGTACTTTATCCCTTGGAAGAGAATTATCTATATAGGTCCACGATATCGTATAGCCTCCATATAACGGTACCCCCCGATATTCATATTTTGATGATTTTAGTTACATTTTTAAACGGAATTGTCTGAAATTGTACACAAGAGTTTCTTTGTGAGCACCTTACCCCCTGACAGTTAATTCTCTATATAGGTTAACGATATCGTATACCCCCCATATAACTGGACCCCCGATATTCGGTATTTTGATGATTTTAGCCACATTCTCCTATGGTATTTTCTGAAAATCCGATGTTAGATATTTTAACAGAATTTTTAATGGTGGAGGGTATTCAAAGTTCGGCCCGGCCGAACTTACGGCTTTTTTACTTTTTATGTCTACTTTCATAATCTACTGGATTTTTTATGTTGCACACTGTAATGTTCTTTACCTACTTTCCTTTCACATGCACTGTACTTTCAATTCCTGGTTAAAAAATCGAAAACACCATGATAAGGAATACATTTTATTTATTTTAAAAATTAATACTTTAATTAAACCATAAAGTATTTAATTTATAATAAAAAAGAAGACAAGAAGCTCTCGTGGCGTATGTGCAGGTGATGTCTGATTTGTCATTTTATCTTCAACGAAATTATTGAGCATTACTGGAACATAAATAATATAAATATAACATGGTGTTTGGGAACAAAGTGCAGGGAATATTTGGGACTTCAACATTGATGATGCAGACAGCAAAGAAAATCTAAATGATTTATTTCAACAGATTCTTTGATATGCAGATGCAAGGAAAGACGTCATATCTAAAGCTGAAAAAGTCAAGAGACCATTCTCCTCGAAATTAGAGGAACGGATGGAGCTGGAATCCTGAAATTTGAAATTAGGATTACTGGCGAAGTGTACGATGGGGATATGGAGGTAGATTTCGAAATTTGTACCTATGTGCACAAAAAGTACTAAATTTGATAGAATTTCGATTTGGGTGAACCAATAGAGCTGGAATGCTAATATTCAGAAATAAAATTACTATTACATTGTAGGACTGAGGTCTGTAGGTAATTTGGAAATTCGTACTAATGTGTACTAAATGTTAGCAAATTTGCTACAATTAAAATTTTCAGAGAATCGGTAGAATTTGAATCCTGAAATTTGGAAATATGATTTCTATTGCATTGTATGATATCGGTACTAAATTTGGTACAATTTGGATTTGGGTGATCCTATTTGGAAATAAGATTACTGTTGCAGCGTAGGATTGGAATATGCAGGTATTTTTTGGGAATTTTTGGTTATATGTACTAAAATGTACTAAAATTTGATACAATTTGGGTTTGGGTAAACATATAGAGTTAGAATGGTACTTAATTTGTAACAGTTTGATTTAGGGCGAACGGATGATGCTGGAATTTTGAAATTTCGTATTTGGGTGTCTGTTGGTGGCAGATTTGTGATAAAGATGTGATGTTGGAAATGTGAACTACAGGTGCACGAAAAGTACTAAAACTAAATATATTTGGTACAATTTGGTATTGGGTGAAAATATATTAAATGAAATCTGAAATTTGATTTTCATCTGCAGCCTGAACATATGGAGGTGGTTTCGAAAATGGTACACAATTGTATGAACAGTACACAATGTTACCATATTTAGTTTTAGATAAAGGGAGATAAAATTCTGAAATTTAATATTTACATTACTGATAGTACCTATGTTTGAGATTTGGCGGATGTTTGGAAATTTATCCCATATTGGTACAAAAGGTACTAAATTTGGTATTGGATGAAGGTATATGGCTGGAATCCTCAAATTTGTTAAGATATGGAGGTGGTTTTGGAAATGTGTACTATATTCGTACGAAAAGTACTAAGCGGTACTAAATTAAGTATTAGATGAACTAATAGAAATTTGATGTTGAGGTCTCTGTTGGTACCTGGGATTGAGATTTGAAGGTGGTTCTGGAAATTGTACAATAATTATATGGAAAGTACTAAATAGTACTAAATTTGTTATTGGGTGAAGGAATAGAGATAAAATTCTGAAATTTGATATTTAGGTTGATTATGGTATCTGTATTTGACATTTTGCGATGGTTTGAAATACGTCCGATATTTGTACGAAAAGTACTAAATGGTTCTAAATTTGGTTTTGTGTGAAGAGATTGGGCTTGAGTCCTCAAATTTGAGGTTGAGGTCCCTGTTTGTATCTGAGATTGAGATACAGAAGTGGTTCTAGAAATATGTACTATAATAGTACGAAAAGTACTAACTTCTTTATTGGGTAAAGGAATAGAGCTGGAATCCCGAAATTTTATGTTGAGGTCTCTGTTGGTATCTGGGATTGAGATATGAATGTAGTTTTGAAAATGTGTACTATAATTGTACGAAACGTACTAAATGGTACTAAATTTGGCATTGATTGAAGGGATAGAGATAAAATTCTGAAATTTTATATTTAAATTACTGATGGTATCTGCATTTAAGATTCGCCAGTGGTTTGGAAACGCGTCCTATATTTGTACGAAAAGTACTAAAATGGGTATAGGCAGCCATAGGGCTGGAATCATCTAATTTGATATTCAGATCTGTGTTGGTATCTGGTATAATTGTACGAAAAGTACTAAATTTGATATTTGGTGAAAATATACAGCTGAAATCCTGTAGCGGCCATTTACTGAATAATAACGTACGTACATACATGCCTGCATACCTTAGTACATATATACAAATGTATTTTTTAAACTTCCAAGAGCAATGTCCTCTCTGTCTTCGTTTTTGTTTCTTCTTCTTTTTCTTCACATTGTTGTTAGTTTCTTTTTTGGTTTCTTAAGAAATCACGTTCCACAGATTTGCGTTTCGTTGCACTGCGACTGGTGATGATGGTGTCGAACGTTACGAGATACGGCATGTAATTAACTGTGAATGCAAAGAAATGTCAATGGACTGGCAGGCGGGCATAAAAAACAATAACAAGAAAAAAATTTAAAAAAAATAGTTACTAAATCAGTATTTGAGTGAGTCCAATTTTCACACCTCTTGTCATGCGATAGATGGGTATTGCACTTATAATATTTCAAAATTACCTAGATTTTAGGCTGTTCTTTATTGTTTTGGAAAATTGGAAAATCTACAGGGTGCGATGAAAAAACTGCAACCAATTTCAGACTGCTGTCATTTCTAAGCCACTCGTCCGACAGCTGTTAAAATTATTCCAGTCACAGCTCATTATATTGTTTACAAGCGGACAAAAGCCTTTATGGAGAGAATTTTCCAGAAATTCAAGATGGAATTCAAGCAAGATAGTATGATTTCTTTATATTTGGCTTGAAACCCACAAGTGGCTATCGTTAGAGCACTTCAGAATTTAAAAAGTAAAAAAGCGACTTGGTCAAAACCCGCGTCGCAGTGGCCGAAAAATGGCTCATGAGCTGAACATATCGCAATATTCCATTCGCCAAATATTGAAAAATGAGCTCGGGGTAAAGTCATTGAAATTCCAAAAAGTGCAAAAACTTACACCGCAACAGAAAGAAAATAGACTCAAAAGAGCTAAAGAGTTGCTTCACTTGGCCGAAAGGGGTGAACTGGCGAATATGGTTTTCTCCGTCTCCGATGAGAAAAGATTCGTTGTTCAGCAGTTTGTAAACAAACAAAATGAGCGTCTTTACTTGCTAAAGAGGTCAGCTGAAAATGTGTACCTTCGGTTGGCCACCAGAACTCAAGCGCCGGCCATGGCGCACTGTCATAACAGCAGATGGTCGCTCTCCGCTCGTATAAATCGACCGTGACATCAGAATAAATGCCGAATATTGTCGCGAAAATATTCTGGAGGGTGTATTAAAGCCTTGGCCAAGCAAACATTTTGGCCGCAGATCTTGGACCTTCCAACAGAACTCAACACCATCACACTCAGTACGCGCCACCCAAGAATGGTTACAAAATGAGGTTCCTCGCTTCATTTCCAGCTCACAATGGCCACCAAAAATCGCCGGGAATGGGCCAAAATACCGCAGAGCAACATTCGGGCAGCGTGTGACGTTTCATTTGCCGTTTGAAGGCCATAATTTGTGCCAAAGGTGACCAATTCGAACAAATCTAAAGGTGTTTTAAAATTTGATGCTATTTCCGACATTTTTTGCTTATGACGTTTGGCTTTGTTGCAGTTTTTTTTATCTCACGTTGTAAATAGATCTGAAACTAGTTTGAAGTCAATAGCAATAGTACGAAAATTAGAAGCTTCTGGAAATGTTCGTTGATTTTTAGCACAAAATTTAATTTTAGTACAAAATTCATTTTTAGTACAAGATTCCCAAACATTTATCGCATATGGAACCACGAACCTCCAGCATTTCCCAATAGCTCAATATTGATAATACAAAATGTTGTATATTTTTTTTACTTTTCCATACCATTAAAGTACGAAGTTCTCATAAACATAGTCATATGATACACTTCCACACTGAGAGTAAGCCTTGGATAAATGTAAGGCCTTCTATAATTTTTCACCCTAGCCTAACTTTTCAATTCAACCTAACCTTAATTTTCCTTTTTTCTTTTCTTATTTTCAGCTCCAAACAAACTGCATTTGTTAAGTATCGCATACACAATTGATTTAACAGAATTATAATAAGAACCACAAGAACAACTACAACAACTACGCCATGTCTAAACGATGGACAACCATATCATTCCTGATACTCGTCTACACCTGTTACCGGTGTACATGGGCCCAACAAACACAGATACCTGAACAGCCAACCAATAATCTAGAATTAGAAGCCGCACTGCCAGAACCCCGAGCTTATGTGCCCGATTCGCAATATCTGGACTTTGTCTATCACAATCATGAAGAGTTAACAAGATTTTTAAGGTAAGGATAATCGCCATGACTACATAACCTTAAAATTGTGAAAATAATAAATGGTAATTGCAATAATAATAATAATAATGATAGTAATAATAATAATAATAATAATAATAATAATAATAATAATAATAATAATAATAATAATAATAATAATAATAATAATAATAATAGGCATAACCAAAATAATCTACATCTGTCCCTCCTAAACATCAAAAATGATCCAAAATCAGTACTATTTTTGTAGTAGTTTCCTACAATTATAGTCCATATTTCCAGAACAACCTCCTTCTCTCAACTGCAGACACCAACAATGGCATACATATGAAACTTCCGGATTTCAACAATATCCCTCCATCCAACACCAAATTTAAAGGCAGTATTTTCAAAAAAAAAAAATCTTCATATCTCAACCTAGATCCCTAGATTTCAGAATTTCAGCTCTGAATCTTCTCCATTACTAAATTTAAAACCATTTAGTACAATTATAGAACGCATATCGAAAACCACCTCCTTGTCTCACCCAAGACACCAACAGTGACATCCCTAAAAAATCAGGATTTCAACTCTATCCCTTCACCCTATACCAAACCTATACAAAATGTTCCGAACAATTATAGTACACATGCCCATCTTAATCGCAGACAACAACAGTGACATCTATATCAAATTTCAGCTCAATCCCTTCAGCAAATACCAAATTTAATACTATTTGGTTCTTTTCGGACAATATTAGAACAAACACAGATACCACCGCCAAATCTCAAACACAGATATCATCAGTAATCTAAATATCAAATTTCAGAATTTTATTTTTACCCCTTCACATAATAACAAATATAGTGCCATTCAATTTAAAACCACCTCCATATGTCCAGGCTACACCTGAACTACTACCCAAATACAGAATTTCAGATTTATATGTTATATATGTTATCCCAATACCATATTGTATCAAATGTAGTACTATTTGGTACTTTTCGGGCCCTTGTAGTACACATTTCCAAAATCACCTCTTTATCAAAAACCTACCACCAACAAGGACCCCATTACAAAATTTCAGAGACATCCGTGCACCCTAACCAAACAGTTCGAAATTTAGTACCATTTAGTATAGTTCGCACAATTCCAAATTTGGGAACATTTAGTGCACATATGTACAAATTTCCATAACAAACTTCATCCTACAATCCACTTAAAATCTTATTTCACAATTTCAGGATTCCAAACCTATCGATTCAACCCAAATCCAAATTAATTGCCATTTAGTACGCATGAGTACGAATTCCAAAGCCTGCTACATACCCCAATCATATACTCCCACAGAAATCCTAATTCCGAATTTCAAGATTTCAATCCTATCGGTTCGCCCAAAAATACAAATTGTACCAAATTTAGTACCATGGTAGTACACATAAGTACGAATTTCCAAAACTTTATACATGCCCCAATCATACACTCCATCAATGATTTTAGCTCCAAATTTCCGGATTCCATCTCTATCGGTTCACCCAAATCTGTATTGTATCAAATTGAGTACATTTTAGTACACATAAGTACAAATTTCCAACCCAATCTAACACTCTGGCAGTAATCTTGTTTAAAATTTTCAGGATACAGCCAATATGGGTTCATTCAAATTTAGTACTATTTAGTACACATAAGTACAAATTTCCATAACTGTCTACATTATAAAATTTAATAGAAATGTTATTTCCGAATTTCTAACTCTATGGAATCCAACTCTATCGTCTCTCCCAAAGTTTAAATTGTACCAAATTTAGTACCATTTAGTACACATAAGTACGAATATCCTTCCTACATATCCCACAATGCAATGGTAATCTGTTTTCCAAATTTCAGCTCTATCGGTTTAACCAAAAGGGAATTGTACCAAATTTAGTACCATTTGGTACTGTTCGTGCACATAAGTACAAATTTCGATAACTTTCTCCATACCCCATTACCTCCATATCCCAATCTAATACTCTGGCAGTAATCTTGATTTCAACAATCATGATACCAGCTCTATTGGTTCATCCAAGTTTAGTACCATTTAGTACACATAAGTACAATTTTCCATAACTGCCTACATTATAAAATCAAATAGAAATGTTATTGCCAAATTTCTGGAATCCAACTCTATCGGCTCTCCCAAAGTTTAAATTGTACCAAATTTAGTACCATTCAGTACACATAAGTACAAATATCCAAAACTTCCTACACACCTCAATGCAATGGTAATCTTTTGTTCCAAATTTCAGCTTTCCAGCTCTGTAGGTTCACCCAAATCGAAATTGTACCAAATTTAGTACCATTTAGTACACAATTATAAATTTCGAAAACTACCTCCATATCCCAATCCCGCACTCCGCCTGTAAATTTAGGATTCCAGCTCCATCCGTGTTTCCAAAATTCAAATTGTACCAAATTTTGTACCATTTAGTACTTTTCGTACACATGTGTACACACTTCCAAAACTACCTCCTCGAACTTGATCCCAGATTTCCATTGTACATTTAGAGTTTGCAGCTCTAATCACTGACATGATACGAAATGGTACCAAATGTAGTACATTTTAGTACTTTTCGTACACTTATAGGGCGAATTTCCAAAAACCCTCTGTTACATTCATCATACACTCCATCAGTGACACTCGTTCCAAATTTAAGAGTTCTAGCTCTGCTGGTCCGTCAAATACAAAGGGTACCATATTTAGTACCTTTTAATACTTTTCGTGCCGTACGAATTTCCAAAAAGCCAGTTTTTTTAGGCCTATGGGCCATCCCCAAATATCAAAATTCTAGCTTCTCGCTAGCTTCCGTTTTGTCTGGGCGTTGCTGAATCATAATTCAGTCAATTATTTAATTTTTTTATAAATATAAAAAAATATTAATTTTAATAATAAATTTATTAAATCTTAATAATTATAAAAATAATAATTTCATATTCTCTCTTTCTCTATGTTCCTCCTCATTGCCATTTCGTAGAGCAACTAGTGCTCGCTATCCCAATCTAACTGCCTTGTATTCAATTGGTAAGTCCATCCAGGGGCGAGAACTATGGGTGTTGGTCGTCTCCTCATCCCCATATGAGCACATGGTCGGTAAACCGGATGTCAAATATGTTGGCAACATTCATGGCAATGAACCGGTGGGTCGTGAGCTACTCCTACACCTGATACAATATTTGGTTTCCAGCTATGATACCGATCAATATGTCAAATGGTTATTGGATAATACCCGGATACACATTATGCCTTCTATGAATCCTGATGGTTTTGCTGTCTCCAAGGAGGGTACCTGTGATGGTGGCCAGGGAAGGTAGGTGGAAATCGAATATAAGAAAATATGTGAAATATTAATTAAAAATTATTTCTTTTTTTTCCTCCCACCCAGATACAATGCCCGTGGCTTTGATTTGAACCGCAATTTCCCCGACTACTTCAAGCAGAACAACAAACGTGGCCAACCCGAAACGGATGCCGTAAAAGATTGGATTTCTAAAATCCAATTTGTCTTGAGTGGAAGCTTGCATGGTGGGGCCCTGGTGGCCAGTTATCCCTATGATAATACACCCAATGCTAGTAAGTATAGGCAACGTGAACCTTCATTAGATTAGCTGAGTTCTTTTAGTTTTTGAGTTTGGTTTCCACTTACTATTAGTTCTTCCGATTTAATTTTCACAAAAAAGGACTTCATTCACCCAGACATTTCGTCATTAAAACATTATATCATTCAGGGAAACATAGTAAAGAGTAGTTGTCAATACACCCATACGAAAATTTTCATACCGAAAGCCTTACGTGTGCAATGAAATTAATTTTTTTCAACAACTATTGTATCGGCGTTTTGAAAGTTTACATCGAAAAACCCGTAAAGTCGGGCGGGGCCGACTTTATGATAACGTACACCACTTTGCTAATTTAGTAGAGCTCCACAGAACAATTGAAAGTTTTTATGAGAGAATTCAATCATACACACTATGTTTATAATTATAATTTAAAGTTTAAAAGATTAAATATGCCGAAGCATTTGTATCTTTTTAAATTCGGACTTGTATTGCCCATTTGATATATATATGGGAGCTATATCCAAATCTGAACCGATGTTGATAAAATTTGGCAAAGATATTTCTGAGCTGTATTTCATATATTTCCCTGAATATCGTTGTTACGGAGTGCATATTACGGCTGTGGATAACAAATATAAAAATCGGATGAACAATATATGTAGGAGCTATAGCTATATCTAAACCGATCTTCACCAAATTTGGCATACTACCTTCTAGACTCAATTCGGCAGTATGTGCCAAAATCCATCTCATTTGGGCAAATATTACACATTTGGTGCACAATAAAAGGCAAATCGGACGAAGTTATATATGGGAGATATATATTCAAATCCGAAACGATCTTGATAAAATTAAGCAAAGCTATTTCTGAGCTGTATTTGATATATTTCCCCCAAATATTGTTGTCACAGAGTGCATATTACGGCTGTGGAGGACCAAAAACAACAAATCGGATGAACAATATATATGGGAGCTATAGCTATATCTGAACCGATTTCGATCCAATTTACTTATTTTCAGGCCTAATTTGGTTGTATGTGCAAAATTCCATACTATTCGGGCTGATATTACACGTTTGGTGCACAATAAAAGGCAAATCGAACGAAGATATATATGGGAGCTATGTCCAAATTTTTATCGATTAGGGTAAAGGGTTAATTGGGTTCGTCCTTGGGCCAAACAAATGATTTGTGCAAAATTTCATCTGGATAGGGTAATAAATGCGAACTGTACTTTGTTCACAAAAATACATGGACAGACGGATGGACGGACGGGCATGCATAAATCGACTCAGAATGTGGTTCTATGCAGATCATCAAAAGGAACTATGGGTCTATCTCGTTTCCTTTTCCCTGTTACAAACAAATGCACAAAGACATAATACCCAGACCACCTTGTGGTGTAGGGTATAATAACCAACATAGGGGGCAAGTTATCTGCTTTTCCAGACTTTAGGAAATGTTCCTCGGAATCCGTGCGTTTTAGATTTATAGTGTCTTTGGCAATATTGCTGATAAAAATACGAGGAATATTTTTTAACCTTCATGCTAGACAAGAAAGGGGTCTTTTTGGTCCATTTTTTAAAAGTGGTTAACAACTCCCTTTAAACGCGATCGTAGCAAGTCAAAATATTCTACAAAATTATTTGTCATAAGATTCTACTATAGGTCCTAGAAGTCGTCAAAAATCGTAATCCTACCAATAATTCACAAATATTAAAAACAAAAATTTAGGGTTAGAGACGTACTTCTAGTGAGTTTGGGCAAAAATCTCTGGGAAAACCTTATTTTAAAAAGAAGGCGTCAAAGACAAAATTATTCTTCATCATATTTCACTAGAGGTCACCAACGAAGAGAGATTTCTGTTTCAACTCTATATATATAAAAAAATTGCATCAATATTCCCAAAAAAAAAAAAACGAAAATACTCCCCAATATTAATAATTAAAAATATTTTGGTCGAACATTTTTACCCTCGAGCGAGTAAAATAGGGGTCTTTTTGGTCCTTTTTAAAATATGGTCAATTACTGAACTAATGAGGATTGGTGCCTCTTTCCGAAACCTAGGCATTCCCTGCCTTACCCCCTGGTAAACATTACTATCGTCATCCACTAGTAAACAAACATTGCTTTTAAAAAAATAACAATAATGGCATTAAGCCTGACTATTTTGCAAAAACAGTCAAATACTTTCTTTTCACGGGATTGTAGCAAGTCAAAATATTCTGCAAAATTATTTGCCATACATTTTTACTACAGGTCTTGGAAGACGTCTAAAAAAACACCAAGGAATTCGTATATGTTAAAAACACATTCGAGGGTTAAAATCGTACTTTTTGTGAGTTTAGGCAAAAATCTCCAACAAAGCATAATTTTAGAAGAAAGATGTAAAAGACAAAATTATTCTTCATCAAATTTCACTATAAGTCACCAAAGAAGAGAATTCTCTATTTCCACTCTATATATAAAAAATTGCATCAATGTTCGCAAAAAAAAAAAAAATCGAAAATATTCCCCAACTTTTTTGATACATTTTTCTCGGTCTTTTTTCGATTTGATGCTTGAAAATAACATAAAATTTCGTTTTAGGTGAAAGGTATCAAGAGAAGATATTTTCAACACAAAATTTCACTACAAATCTTAGAATAAACCACATATCTAAGTACAATAGTTTCTATGAAAATTACATTTAAAATTGAGAAAATTACAGGGTGAGATAAAAAAAAAACTGCAACAAAGACAAACGCCATAATTTTTACATTTTTTAAAATTTTATTGAATAAAAGCAAAAAATGTCGGAAATAGCTTAAAATTTTAAAATACATTTAGATTTGTTCGTTTGGCCACCTTTGGCACAACTTATGGCCTTCAAACGGCCAATGAAACCGTCAAACGCTGCCCGAATGTTGCTCTGCTTGAGGTGATCCAAACCTTGGGTTTTTTAGTGCCAAAATACTCTAGACACAATAGCCCAAAGGAATGGTATCCGGAGATTTTGGTGGCCATTGTGAGCTGGAAATGAAGCGAGGAACCTCATTTTGTAACCATTCTTGGGTGGCGCGTGCTGAGTGCGATTGTGCTGAGTCCTGTTGGAATCTCCAAGGTTTGCGGCCAAAAAGGTTGCGTACCCAAGGCTTTAATACACCCTCCAGAATATTTTCGCAATAATATTCGGCATTTATTCGGATGCAACGGTCGATTAATACGAGCGGAGAACGACCATCGGCTGTTACGGCGGCCCACACCATAACCGAAGGTGCGTGCCCAACGCTTTAGTACACCCTCCAGAATATTTTCGCTATAATATTCGGCATTTATTTTGATGCCACGGTCGATTAATACGAGCGGAGAGCGACCATCGGCTGTTATGGCGGCCCACACGATCACCATGGCCTGCGCTTGAGTTTTAGTGGCCAACCGAAGATGCACATTTTCAGCTTTCCTCTTTGGCAACTAAACACGATCATTTTCTTTGTTTACCAACTGCTGGACAACGAATGTTTTCTCATCGGAGCGGAGAAAACCAAATTCGGCAGTTCACCACTTTCGGCCAAGCAAAACAACTCTTTAGCTCTTTTGAGTCTATTTTCTTTCCGTTGCGGTGTAAGTTCTTACAATTTTTGAAATTTCAATGGGCTCGGGCTAAAGCTCATTTTTCAATATTTGCCGAATGGAAAATATGCGATATGTTCAGCTCACGAGCCATTTTTCGACCACTGCGACGCGGGTTTCGATTGTTTTCGAGTCGCTTCTTTACTTTTCGAACCATTTCTTCTGATGTTGCTGTTTTTCCGCTTCCTTCCACCTCCTTGACGTCGAGCTATGTTACCAGTATCACGGTAACGAGCGATGGCACGAGACACAACGTAGTTATTCACATTTAAATACTGGAGTGCTCTAACGATAACCACTTGTGATTTTCCTGCAAAATATAAAGAAATCACACTATCACGCTTGAATTCCAACGCGAAAAACTTTTTGTCTGAAAATTTCTCACCAAAATGCTTTTGTACGATTGTAAACAATATAATGAGCTTTCACTGGATTAATTTTAACAGCTGTCGGACGAGTGGTTTAGAAATGACAGCAGTCTGAAGTTGGTTGCAGTTTTTTCATCTCACCCTGTATACAGCTTTGATGAGTTACAAACGGAATGACAAACTTAATATACCTTCCATGTTATGGTGGCGGCTATAAAAAGACCCTTTTGTAGGTAGAGTGAGGGTAAAATTCTCAAGCAAATAGTCCGCGTATAGTTATCAGTAATCTGACGAAGATATTGTTTTCCAAAATTCCAAGGAATCATAATCTTACAATTTCAAAAAATGGGGAAGAAGGCGGAACTTGCCCTCTTAATTTGGTTATTTTGAGATATAAACTTTAAAGTTTCTACTTTCAAAATCTGCTAGATTTTTCATTTCATTATTTTTGGGCACAGTGTTAAATACGATTTCTTAGAAATCGATCTGAAACATGATTTTATTATCAAAGGTCTTTCAAACTTGTCAGAGCTATATAAGCTCAAAATAAATTTTCATTTCATCCAATCACTTTCGCTATCATTTCAACTCATATTATCACAAATCGCTCATAAATCCAGCCATCGAACCCTTTGCCGTTTCCAAATCATCTGACATTATGTAGTTATTGAATCAGTTGTATATAAAGTGATATTACAATTTTTTCATTTAAAAACCAATATGGCGACTAAAAGGAATCTGTAGATCATCGGCTTTATGCGCGAGTGAGTAGAACCCTTTTTTCCAACTCCCCTGGGTTATAGTAGCCCAATGTAGCATATCCAAACGAAAAAAAAAATATCTTAAATTAATTTCAAAAAATTATCATCACGAAACTAACCCCAATTTTTTTACTCCTTTTCCAAAAAACATGTCCTTTGGGCGCAGTGTTTCAAACGTATTCGGCGGCTCCCTCGCTAACACCCGACGACGATGTCTTCAAACATCTATCGTTGGTTTATGCCAAAAATCATGCCAAAATGTCACGAGGAGTGGCATGTAAATCGGCCACGCCAGCCTTTGAGAATGGCATCACCAACGGTGCTGCCTGGTATCCATTGACGGGAGGTATGCAGGACTATCAATATGTGTGGTATGGTTGCATGGAAGTTACTTTGGAAATATCATGCTGTAAATATCCGCCAGCCTATGAGTTGAGGAAATACTGGGAAGATAATCAATTGGTGAGTAACCACAATAAAACATACTCTTAGATATTCATTGAATTAATTGAAAATTTTCCCCTTTTCCAGTCCATGATCAAATTCCTGGCCGAGGCTCATCGCGGTGTCCAGGGTTTTGTCTTTGACAACAACAATAATCCCATTGAAAGAGCTTCGCTGAAAATCAAGGGTCGTGATGTTGGTTTCCAAACAACCAAACACGGTGAGTTCTGGAGAATATTGCTGCCTGGTTACTATAAATTGGAGGTAAGTGGATCAAGTTGCTCTTTTATTTTGATCGACCTTTTGAACATTGTTTTTTTTTTCATTTTAAGGTCTTTGCTGAGGGCTATTCTCCCCGAGAAATTGAATTTGTGGTTGTCGAACAACATCCAACATTGTTAAATGTCACTTTGCAGCCATCTAAGGTACGTTTAAGTTTCATATGAGTTGTTATGCGAATTTTTCAATTTATTTTGGAAGTACATTCGATCAGGTGTTGAGGATAAGATTGAGATTTGTTAAACGAGTAGTTCCTATATATATATATATCATTTTATACGGCGAAAACGTGCCTCATCGAAATAAAGGTTTTAGGCGCTGAGTGTCTTTTGACCAAATCACATTTGGAATCGATCTAGCGATATTCATCTGTATGTCTATCATGTACCATTTTGGTCCAAACTTTGTACATCGTAATATTATTGTCAAACTTAGATCGATTTCGGAGATGCACAATACCGGTCCACTTCTTCTGGTACCAAAGAAAATATTTGCTGCGCAGAAAAATAAATGATGATCTGATTTTGCTCCAACTTTGCGAATCCTAATATTTACATCAGTTCTAGGTCAGGTGCGAAAATAGACAAATAGACGGTCCACTCCATCAAGTATCTCTCCCACAAGAGGTCAACATTTTTAATATTTTTAACTCTTATAAAATGTGATGTAAGAGTCCGACTGTCTTCAAATTATACACATCACAATATTTCTACTAACACACGATCTGTTGTGAAGATGGGATATATCGGTCCACTCCTTCTAGTACCTCCCCCACAAAGGGTCAACATTTTAACTATCCATGAACATTTTAACTATCCATACTTTTATCTGTCTTAACTTGGGGAAACAAGTCAGCGATTCCTTCCAACTTGCTATTTCTAAATATTTATCTCTACCAGAAACCTGAGATGAACATAGAATTTATGATTTCGCATAAAATTTGATATAAATGTTCGATTTTGTTATTGTGATTTTATTATATCATCTGCATTAGATGAAATATGAAAATGGTCGACTACATCTGGTACGCCACGCTCACTTTAATATTTTTCAAAAATTATCTTATATCTCATATAAAGTGAAGGGTAACCGATATACTAAAAACCTGACATGTCACCTCTTTCATAGAGATTTAACAGTTTGAATAATAATAACAGAAGTCAAATTATATTTAAATAATCGAACATTGGCTGTGTGTATATATCTGTCGCGAAAACCCACTGATATTCTTCAGAATACATGAAAAGTCTTAATCGTACAAAACGCCAGGAATTCCTTAATATTTAGAACACATTTTCGGATTAAAGTCGTACCTTATATAAGTTTATGCTGAATTCCTCTACAAAGCATCATTTTAGAAAAATGAAGTAAAAGACAAAAATATTCTTAATCAAATTTCACTATAAATCGCCAAAGAAATGAAATCTCTATTTTCATTATAGATCAAGAAAATAATTGGTAGAATGCTGCAAAAATAAATAAATAAAAAATATCTCTAAATATTTTTAACAATTTTTATTTAATATTTTTTCTAGTTTCGCTTTACACAAAAAGTGTCAAAAGAACCATATATGTCAAAATAAAACTTATGTGTATGTTTAATAGCACCAAAACGTAGTCCTATATACATTGATAATTTTTTGCTTATAACATATCTAAAAAATAAGAATTCAAAATGAAAAAAATTGGCGAAATTGAATGGAATATATTAGTAAAACGTAAAATAGACTTGAAATCGTGATTTTACCCTTATATGGGTGCTATGCCCAAAATGACTCATGAAGCAAACCGAAACTCTATATTAAATTTCATAGCTCTACATCAAAATACTGTTGTCCCTTTAGGTATCGTTAATGTGCTATGTTAAGTAGAGCCCTAACAAAGTTTGGTTTGAAACCCCAAAACACTTTGAGGCTTTTGATCTACAAAGCGGACTAAATTCAGTTGAAATCCACAAATTCCACTGCTCAGGCTGGCATTTTCCAGGGAATTCGAAAAAAAAACCTAAATTTGTCGAAAATAAAATATATTTTTTCTTAAACCAAAATCAATGATATTTTTATGTGGTTTATATTAAGTAAAGACATTCCTTTTGTTCAGAGACTTACCATGAAATTTGAGAAGAATGGAATATTTTCTCCTTTGACACTTCGCCCAAAACATGAAATGTTGAGGGTGATTTTGTCTTAGATGGAAAACGCGTAAAATTAATAAGTCAAAAACGTACGCGTAAGAAATTTCCTTAAAAACTATTATGCCTAAATTTATATAGTTTATTCTGAGACATGTAATGAAATTTAGTATAGAATAGTTTCTCTTGTGACACTTTGCCTAAAAAATTAAGTGTTGAGGGAAATGTTGACTAAGATTATAAATTAACAAATCTAAAACATAAGCCTATAATTTCCACTTTTAATAGAAAGTTTTCGTATGTAATTTCCTTAGAAACTATAATGCCTAGATACATAGTTTATTCTGAGACATATAACGAAATTTAGTGTATTATGTTTCCTGTTTTGACACCTTGCCCAAAAAATAAAGTGTTGAGTGAGATTTTGACATAGATTAAAAATTAATAAGTCAATAACGTAAACGTATAATTTACACTGTTACTAGAAAGTTTTCGAATGTAATTTCCTTAAAAACTATTATGACTAGATTAATAATTTCTTCTGAGACATATAACGAAAATTTGTGAGAATATTTCCTCCTTTTAAGCGAAATTTTATGTTATTTTCAATGTTGCACCAACTAGAAAAGCGGTCGAGGAACAATTAATCAAAAATTAGGAAATATTTTCGATTTTGTTCGTGACAATTGTTAATGCAAATATTTTAAGTTTTATTTAATCTATAATCATTTCGAATCCAATTTCGATAAAACCTGTCTTATCTAGATGTGCGATTTGTTCTGAGACAAATAGTGAAATTTTAACCTTTAAGGGTTTCAACCTAAAATGAAGTTTTATGCTACTTTCATGCTTCCACAAGAAAAGGGCCGAGGAAAAAGTATATCCAAAATTAGGAAATATTTTCGGGGTTTCTTTTTTCTGTCAACAGTGAAATAATTGTTATTTATTTTTATTTATTTATTTATTTATTTTTTTTGGTTACTTATAGTAAATAGGGTATTTTCCTTCCTTTTCATCTCTTTCTTTACGCTTCGATGTTTTATAAATTAAAAAAAAATCCTATTCAAACTAAAACCTAATCGAATGTACTTTACTATTCGGCCAGTCCGAATATCAGTTATTTACCGATCTATTTTTTTTTTCAAAATTCTTATTCAACAACTTTATCAAACAACAGTTTTTAATAAGAGAACAACAGCATGCTTGCACCTTTAAAAAATTTAGTAGAATTTTTATAAAATATTTTTTTAATGTTTGTTTCCTACCTTTTATATTTTTCTGAAATTTTTTTGTAATCCTTTTTTTCTTTTAAATATTCTTCTCAAAACCCTAAAATGTATTTCAGCAGTTTAACATGCCCACAATTGCCACAACCACCATCAAAACACCAACAACAAAAAAACCCCGAAAACTAATCGGATTTATTCCGAAAGATGAGGATGAAATAATTCACTTCCCCTCTGATTAATTGCGCTTTTAAAATAAAAGAAATATAAATTTATCTTTTGGAAAATTTAAGAAAATGTAATAAAAAAGAAAATTTGCATCATAAGTAGGCTGAATGGTTTTTTTTACAAAAACAATTAAAAGTTAATACAAACATTAAAATTGACTCTAAAGACATTGTAGATCCACATGCTTTTGAATCATGTTTCCGAAATATTGCAAACAAAAAAAAAACAATTTTATTTTGTCGATTACAGTCTAGTGTGGTATAAAGGAACATTGGTTTATCGCAACTATAACAATTATTTTTCGAAACCGAAGAAAAGTTGCAATTGATTTTATTTCGAATTTATCAACAATGTCTTTTGCAACATATTGAAAATGTAAACTATTTCTAAATATATTTTATGGGTACTCTGAAAAAAGTAAAGGGACCTTTAAATTTTTTTTAAAAGATCCAGCTAAAAGGGACCTTTGAAAAAATTTCCTTAAAAAAATTCACGTTATGAGACCTTCGAAATCCAGGTTTATGGGAACTTTGAAAATTTTTCTTTAAAAAAATCCAAATTTATGGAAACTTTGAAAAAAATCCAGGTTTGAGAAAAAAATCGTTAAAAAATCCAACTTTAATTTTTTTTAATCTATGTTAAAAAAATACGTAAAAATCTACTTTTTAAAAAAATGTAATTAAAAAATCAACGTTTGAAAAAATTTCTTTAAAAAAATCCACTTTGAAAAAAAAATTCTTTAAAAAAAATCACGTTCGAAAGAATGTAATTAAAAAAAAACAACGCTTGAAAATTTTTTTTAAAAAATCCACTGTAAAAAAATGTCTTTAAAAAAATTAACGATCGAAAAAAAAAATTAAAAAATACACTTTTAAAAAAATTAAAAAAAACATTTGAATCTTTTTTAAATTTACATAAAAAAATACACGTTTGAAAAAAAATTTCATTAGAAAATCAACGTTTAAAAAAATTTATTTAAAAAAAAAATCCAGGTTTATGGGACCTTTGAAAAAATGTTCTTTAAAAGATCCAGGTTTATGGGAACTTTGAAAAAATTTCTTTAAAAAAATCCACGTTTAAAAAAAAACTTTAAAAAATCCACGTTTGATTTCTTTTAACTACTTAATTTAAAAATACTTACATACATAATACATTTAAAAAAAAAGTTCTTTAAAAAAATCACTTTGAAAAAAAAATTCTTCAAAAAAATTCACGTTTGAAAAAAAAAATAAAAAAATAAACGTTTGATTTTTTTTAAATACTTAAAAAATGCACGTTTGAAAAATATTTCATTAAAAAATCAACATTCACAATTTTCTTTTTTAAATTCCACGTTTGAAAAAAAATTATTTAAAAAAGTCTACGTTTGAAAAAAAATTATTTAAAAAAGTCTACGTTTGAAAAAAAATTATTTAAAAAAGTCTACGTTTGAAAAAAAATTATTTAAAAAAGTCTACGTTTGAAAAAAAATTATTTAAAAAAGTCTACGTTTGAAAAAAAATTATTTATAAAAGTCTACGTTTGAAAAAAATTATTTAAAAAAGTCTACGTTTGAAAAAAAATTATTTAAAAAAGTCTACGTTTGAAAAAAAATTATTTAAAAAAGTCTACGTTTGAAAAAAAATTATTTAAAAAAGTCTACGTTTGAAAAAAATTATTTAAAAAAGTCTACGTTTGAAAAAAAATTATTTAAAAAAGTCTACGTTTGAAAAAAAATTATTTAAAAAAGTCTACGTTTGAAAAAAAATTATCTAAAAAAGTCTACGTTTGAAAAAAAATTATTTAAAAAAGTCTACGTTTGAAAAAAAATTATTTAAAAAAGTCTACGTTTGAAAAAAAATTATTTAAAAAATCCACGTTTGAAAAAAATTATTTAAAAAATCCACGTTTGAAAAAAATTATTTAAAAAATCCACGTTTGAAAAAAAATTATTTAAAAAATCCACGTTTGGAAAAAATTATTTAAAAAATCCACGTTTGAAAAAAATTATTTAAAAAATCCACGTTTGAAAAAAAATTATTTAAAAAAGTCTACGTTTGAAAAAAAATTATTTAAAAAATCCACGTTTGAAAAAAAATTATTTAAAAAATCCACGTTTGGAAAAAATTATTTAAAAAATCCACGTTTGAAAAAAATTATTTAAAAAATCCACGTTTGAAAAAAAATTATTTAAAAAAGTCTACGTTTGAAAAAAAATTATTTAAAAAATCCACGTTTGAAAAAAAATTATTTAAAAAATCCACGTTTGAAAAAAAATCATTTAAAAAATCCACGTTTGAAAAAAAAAATTATTTAAAAAATCCAAGTTTGAAAAAAAAAAATATTTAAAAAATCCACGTTTGAAAAAAAATTATTTAAAAAATCCACGTTTGAAAAAAAAATATTTAAAAAAATCCACGTTCGAAAAATTATCTTCAAAATAAATCCACGTTAATAAAATATCTTTAAAAAATCCATGTTTTAAATTTTAAATTTAAAAATCAATTTAAAAAAAAAAATATTCTTGATAAAATCAACTTTAAAAAAATGTATTTAAAAAAAAGTTGGATAAAAAAATAAAAAATCTAAGTTTGAGAAAATTCATAGAAAAAATCCACATTTATGGGTCCTTTGAAAACAGAAATCTTTAAAAAATTCATGGTTGAAGAATATCTTTAAAAAAGACAGTTGAAAAAGAAATCTTGAAAACTCCACGTTCATGGGTCCTTTTAAATCTTTTTTTTAATTCGCGTTGAAAAAAATGTTTAAAAAAATGTAAATGGGTCTTTTGAAAAAACATTCAAAAAATAAAAATCAACAATTGAAAGCATATATTTAATATGTTTTCAAAACGTTTTTAAATTTCGGCTTCCAACAATAATTTTCTTTTCAAGTTCCTTATTACCCTCCCTGACTGTATTTTGCTTTATTGGCATTGTTATAGCTTCATTTTTTCTTTTCAAACCACAAAAGCCTGCTGCTGCCTGGTACAATTGGTATAACTAACAATACAAATTTTTCTATTCCTATATTCCCCCTCAAAATAAATACAAAAAATAAATTCCAACACAACCACAATCAAATGAGTTTACTTTTTAGTAAGTACAGACATATATATGTATTTGTTGGCTTTATAGTAATAATTATAATCCTTGCTTTATTGTTTTGTTTTTGTAATTGTGAAAGCATTTTGCATTAATAATTTCCATACATTTTCCTTTTACAATTCATAAACATAAACATACAAAAACGAACCATTTTTTCCTTTAGAACTGTGCGTGCTTTCATTATGTGCTCTGTTAATTACAAAAATCATGGCATACTTTTAGGCTTTAACTGCACAAGCATTGTTATCAAACACCGCCGCCGCCACAAAACAAATAACAGGGTGTCTCATATAAATGTTGTGTGTGTGTCTGTCTGTTGTTATTTTCAACTTGATTTTCTCAGTGTTTAGCAACCTCTTCAAAAGAAACAAACGTTTTACTAATGAAATTCTTATATCTTTTCTTTCCTTTTTCTACTTTTAGCGCATCGAGGGCACCTTAACACCCCTCTCACCCCTGTACCGTCCCGTACCTGGACCACCACCCCATCTCTATAGACCACCCACACCCGGCTATGGAGCCGGTGAATCGAGCATTTTCTCCTCCATTACCAGCGGTCTCAACAATCTCTATTCCAATCTGTTTGGCTGATCCTTTATCTTTGTGATCGAAATATTTCTCGATTATCGTACCATTTATTTATTTATAACATTTTTCATAATCCTATCCATAATTCACATAGCAAGTCGTGAAGATTTCGATCCCCTGCCCCAAGAGGGGGAGGAATAGACAAAGAAAAAAAAAAACAAAAACAGAACTAACAAAATTAAGCCAACAACAGTAACAACAACAATCAACCATCCAATTTTTGGGGGGGAGTTTCTTAAAACAAGAATGGAACTCCTCTCAACATATATTATTGCAAAGCAATCACAGATCAAGATCAACTTTATTTTAGTAGTACTACTGCCTTATAGTTCAATTAGGAAATGGGGGACATGGGACACTGGGTAACGTAGAGCAGATATGTAGGGGAAGGGTAGCATAGAGAGAAATTGTAAGAGTTGTTTTAATTTGTTTTTTTTTTTATTCGAAATTTAAATCTCTCTTTGTTTGGGACTCTTTAAAGTGACCTAAAGCGGGACCCTAGAGACAATCAGAAGGGAGTCTAAACAAATAAATTGAATTGAACTTGAAGGGAATTTTCATAGGTAACTAGAATGAAGTATATAGGAAGTTAATAAGTTGATAATAAGTTTTCTAGACTAGCTGAAAGGGGTGTTCCCAGGTGAGTTGACGAAACTTTCCAGTTGAGTTGAAGGGAGTTTTTCTAGCTTAAAAAATATACAATGTTCATAGGTGACCAGGAAAATTGTTGTTGACGACTTGAAGAGGATTTTCTGATAACCAAGAGAGAGTCTCTACGGAAGATGTCAATTGAGTCTTCATTGGCTACGACGAGATAGCAGCCTCCATAGACCACCAGAAAAAAGTTTGTATAGGCGACTAAAAGAGAGTCTTTAGCAATGACTAAAATGGAACCTTTATTGGCGACGTGAACTCAGTATCCAAAGGCGAGTTGAAGGAGGGTCTCTAAAAGGGAGCTGAAAGAAGAATTTACAGAGATCAGCAGAAGGGAATCTCTATACACTATCAAACGCAGATTATGGGTTCTTTGAAAAAAATTAAAAAAAAACTGTCTTTGAAAAAATATTCTTAAAAAAATATGTTTGAAAAAATTTAAAAAAAAAGTTTTAAAAAAATCCAAGTTTGAAAAAAAAAACTTTCCCTAAAAATCCTTTGAACTTTGAATTTTTGTTTTCTTAAAAAATCCTAGTTAAAAAAAATCTTTAAAAAATCGAAAATTCTGTCCCTACAAAATTCTTTTAAAATACCTTTCAAAAAAAATCTTTTAAAATTCCAAATTTATGGGTCCCAAAAAATAAAGCATGTTTGAAAAAAAATTCTGAAGATAATCCACCTTAAAAAAATTATGTCTTTCGGTCCTTTTAAAAAAATTCTTTGAAAAATACTGTCCTTCGGTCTTTTGAAAAGTTATCTTTGAAAAAATATTCTTACAAAAATCCACGTTTGAAATAGCTTATTTAAAAAAATCCAAAAGTGTATTTTGTTGACCAATGTTGAAATTATTCAATATGAGTTAATTGGGCTTATATGGTCAAGTTAATTAAATCCAAGTTTGAAAAAATTCTTTTAAAAAAACACGTTAGTAAAAATATTCTTTTCAAAAATCCAAGTTTGAAGAAAAATTCTCTTAAAATTCCAAGTTTAAAAAATAAAAATTTAAAATATCTAAATATAAAAAAGATTTAAAAAATCCACGTTTAAACAAAAAAATCCTTAAAAATCCAAGTTTGAAAAAATAGTTACAAAATCCAATTTTTTGTCCTTCAGTTCTTTAAAAAAAATTCCACGTTAGAAAAAATTCTAAATTTATGGGTTTTAAAAAAAATTGGAAAAAAGTTCTTACAAATTCTACATTTATAGGTTCCTTGAAAAAATAATTAAACAAAAGTTCTTAAAAATATATAAAAAATGTGTCCTATGGTTTCAAAAAAAATTCTTTAAAAAATCCTTAGAAAACAACTTAAAAATTCCACGTTTATAGATTCTTTATTTTTTTTAATTCCTTCATTAAAAATTCCACGTTTATGGGTCCTTGGAAAAAAATTCTTTAAAGTGTCCTTTGAAAAAAATCTTTAAAAATTCCACATTTATGAGTCCTTTGTTGTCTTAAAAATTGTCTTAAAAATCCATTCAAAACAATTTTTTAAAAGATCCACATTTATGAGTCTTTTGAAAATAATTCCTTTAATTCAAAAAAAAATCTTTAAAAAATCCACATCTATGGAACCTTTGAAAAAAAATCTTTATAAAAATCCATATTTTTGGGACCTTTGAAAAAATAGAAAAACTACATTTATGGGTCCTTTGAAAAAAATAATAATAAATAAAAAATTAACGTTTATGGGTCCTTTAAAAAAATTCATGTTTATGGGACTTTTAAAAAAAGTCTTTAAAAAATCTAACTTTTGAAAAAAGGTATGTAAAAAATTTTTTTAAAAAATCCACATTTATGAGTCTTTTGAAAATAATTCCTTTAATTCAAAAAAAATCTTTAAAAAATCCACATCTATGGATCCTTTGAAAAAAAAATTCTTTATAAAAATCCATATTTTTGGGACCTTTGAAAAAATAGAAAAACTACATTTATGGGTCCTTTAAAAAAATAATAATAAATAAAAAATTAACGTTTATGGGTCCTTTAAAAAAATTCATGTTTTAAGAAAAGTCTTTAAAAAATCTAACTTTTGAAAAAAGGTATGTAAAAAATTTTTTAAAAAATCCACGTTTGAAATAAATATTCAAAAAATCAGATTTTGAAAAAAAAACTTTAAAAAATTCCACGTTTGAAAAAAAATAAAAAATTCATTGTTTAGAAAATATTCTTATCCACAATTACAAAAACATCTTTTAAAATCCACATTAATGAGTCGGTTGGAAAAATATTCTTTAAAAATCAAACTTAAATATTGTTTAAAACTACTGTTTTTCGTCATTAAAAAATATTTTAAAAAAATTACCTTAATATGTTATAATAAATCCTGGGTGATTTTAAAAAATATTTTTCAAAAAACGATTATTAATAAAAATATTCAGGTATATTGAACGACCAGGAGGGAATTTGTTAGACATCAGAAGGCAGTTTTTTAGACTCCTTAGAGGGAAGTTTTCAAACAACATTTTTTATACACGAACAGAGAGGACTTTTGAAAGATTACCTGCATAAGACATACATACCTTGTCAACCTCCATTTTTAAAGAAGACGCTCTTCATTTCCATCTTTTCAAATTATCTTCACTCCATTCCCCCCACCATCGATCTGCAACAAAAAGTATGTTACCCAGTGTAAAGTATATTGTTACCATTTAAGCCACGGCCAAGGAATTTGCAAAATCATTTTTGTAGTTGAATGTTGTTTAATTTTTAAGATTTATTTATTGTTACCAAAAAAGAAGAAAAAAACAAACACAAATAAGAACTCAAATATATTTGGATAAAAAAGATCAAGAAAATTATAAAAAAGAATGTTGAAAAATATATATTTAATAAAATGGTGTTCTCATATTTTAATTAAGATCTATGTATGTATATTATTAAGACAATAAGTTAAATAAATAAAAAAAAAACAAAATACATAAAATATTTATATTAAGATGACAACCAATTATCTTTAAAAAAAAGCAAAGTATATATTTATCTAAAAATATTTGAAAAAAAAAAAAACAACTTTTATGAAAAATAAATTTTATTTTCAATAAAAAATACATTTATATTTTTTATTTAAACAATAAGTGGTATAAATACAGGGTGAGATAAAAAACTGCAACGAAGTTAAATCCCATAATTTTTTTTTAATTTTATGAAAGAAAGCAAAAATCGACCGAAATAGCATCAAAATTTTAAATAAGTTTAGATTTTTTCGAATTGGTCACCTTTGGTTCCTTTAAGGATCTCATACAAGAATTCATGTTTATTAGTCCTTTGAAAATTTATTTTTTCCTTAATTATTTCTGTTCAAGTCCTTTCAAACACGACGGACATTTTTTGAATATTTTCAATTATAGTCGTGCTACCCAAAATCTATCACACCTTGTTACAAATTTGTTTCAACCGGAAGAAGAAGAATTCAAATAACCAAAATTTCCAAAAACAACCACCTTGCTTTGACACAATTCTACAATTCCTTGCACATACCTGTCTCTGACAGCCAACCAATTGGAGAACGTCACAGCAGGTGTTGTTGGCCAAGGACTTTCAAAACAAACATATGGCCGGCTCGTTTGCCTCACCACACACACACACATGACAGCAGCTCAGTCATATTTTGTACGTTTACGTTTTAGCTTCGTGTTTTCCTTTTTCTTTTGCCTCGAAATAAACGTCAGAAATAATCGAAAGAAAAAAGAAATCTAAAAAAATATATATTTTTGAAAACTATTTTCTTCTTCAAGAATATTTTTGAAAATAAATAAATAAAATTTGCAATTGTTTGTTTTGAAATTGTGAAAACGAAATATTCAAATCTCATAGCGACGGCAAGGATTTCAAAAAAAAAAAATGTCCGAATTCAATAGCCACCAGTATTATGGACATTCAATGAATCGCCGTAAATCGAAATATGGAACAGCGGCAGCAGCAACAACAACATCAAAGAATTTCAATTATCGGGTAAGACGATGACCTTGATGTGCGTGTCTCCATGCATTGGGTGGTATAATTGGCCAGGTTGAATAGGGTTAAAGGAGTTTTAATAAATGTTTAGAGATAAAAAGCAAAATATGTTAACAATAAAATATTTAGGTGTTGAAAGAGAATAAAGAAGTGAGAGGAGAACTAGAGAGGAAAGAGAGTTTCACAAAAGTCTATTTTTTAATGAGGGAAGTGAGTACTTTTTGGACCTGACGTGTCCTTTTAGATGAACGTGTCCTTTTTAGATGAACTCAGGGGAATCCTACTTGCTCGAGCTGAAGGGAGTCATTTTACAACGGGTCTTTAACGGTGTCCTTTTTAGACGAGCTGAAGAGAGTAATTTTTAGACAAGCTGAGGATACTGATTTTATGACGATCTAATGGGAGATATACAGATAAGGCAAAGATAGAAGGTCGTAGATTTTTTTTAGACGAGTTGGAGATCGTCGACTTTGTAGACGGGCTAGAGGTCTTCGATTTTTTAGACCAGGTGAAAAAGTTGTAGTTTTTTTTCGAGGATTTAAAAGTCGTTTTTATCGACGAGTTGGAAGTCGTTTTTTAGACGAGCTGAGAATCGTCGCTTTTATAGACAAGCTGGAGTTCGTCGAATTTTTATATCAGCTGCAGCTCGTCGTGTTTTTAGACAAACCGAAGCTCGTTGAGTTTTTGGACAAACTGGAGCTCGTCGAATTTTAATATAAGCTGGATGTCGTCGAATTGTTAAACAAGCTTTTATATAAGCTGGAAACCGTCGAATTTTTAGACAAGCTGGAGCTCGTTAAATTTTTAGACGAGCTGGAAGTCGTTGAATTTTTAGACAAGCTAGAGGTGGACAAAGTCGTCGAGTTTTTTTTTTTTTGTTTTTGGACAAGTTGGAGGTCTCCTTGTATAGGTCCATGTCGTTTTTTTAGCAGCAGAGCAGAAGAATCATCGATTTTGTATACGTGCTTAAGGTCGTCGATTTTATAGACAAACTTAAGGTCATCCTTTTTTAGACCAGGTTAAGGTCGTCTTTTTTTAGACGAGCTTGACGTCATCGATTTAATACATGAGCCTGGAGGTCGTCTTCTATAGATGAGCTTAGGGTCCTCGATTTTTTTAGACGAGTTGTGGTAGTCGTCAATTTTTTAGTCGAGCTGGGGGTCTTCCTTAATAGACAAGCTGGATGTTGTATTTTTTAGACGAGATGGAGTTCGTCTTTTTTTAAACGAACTATAGAGATCGCCTTCTATAGACGAGCTTAAGGTGGTCGATTTTTTATAGACGAGCTAAAGGTCGTCGATTTTTTAAAGACGAGCTTAAGGTCGTCGATTTTATAGACGAGCTATAGAGGTCGTCTATGCTATAGACGAGCTTATGGTCGTCGATTTTATAGACGAGCTACAGGTCGTCGATTTTTTTTATAGACGAGCTAAAGGTCGTCGATTTTTTATAGACGAGCTTAAGGTCGTCGATTTTTTATGGACGAGCTTAAGGTCGTCGATTTTATAGACGAGCTATAGAGGTCGTCTATGCTATAGACGAACTTATGGTCGTCGATTTTATAGACGAGCTTAAGGTCGTCGATTTTATAGGCGAGCTTAAGGTCGTCTTTTTTATACGAGCTTAAGGACGTCAATTTTTTAGACGAGGTTAAGGTCGTCAATTTTTTAGACGAGCTGGAGTTGGTCGATTTTTTTAGACTTGCTGGAGGTCGTCGATTTATTTTTAGACGAGATAGAGGTCGTCGATTTTTTTTAGACGAGCTGGAAATCGTCGTCTTTATATAATCGTCTTCTATAGACGAGCTGTAGGAGGTCTGGAGGTTGTCGATTTTATAGACGAACCTGGAGGTCATCTTTATTTAGACGAGCTGGAGGTCGTCTGAAGTATAGATGTTTTGGACGTCTGAAATGTAGACGAGCTAGAGGTCGTCTGAAATATAGACGACCAAGAGGTCGTCTTTATTTAGATGAGCTCTTATAGACGAATTAGAGGTCGTCTTTATTTAGATGAGCTCTCATAAACGAGCCGGAGGTCGTCTTTATTTAGATGAGCTCTCATAAACGAGCTAAAGACGTCGTCTCTCATTGACGAGGCAGGGAAGTCGTCTCTCATCGACGAGGTAGGGAAGTCGTCTCTCAAGGCGAGCCGGAGGCCGTCTCTCATCACCGAGGCAGAGAAGTCGTCATTCATAGGCTAGCCGGAGAAGTCGTCTCTCATAGGAGAGCCGGAGTAGTCGTCTCTCCTAGGCGAGCCGGAGAAGTCGTCTCTCATATGCGAGCCGAAGGTCGTCTATAATATAGACGAGCCTGGAGCTTGTCGATTTTTTTGAAGACCCGGAGGTCGTCGATTTTTTAGACGTGCTTAATGGTTGTCTTTTTTTAGACGACCTGGACTCGTCGTTTTTTGACGAGCTTAAAGTCGTCTTTTTTAGATGAGCTTAAGATCGTCATTTGGAGGTGGTCTATTTTTTTAGACGAGCTGGAAGTCATCTTTTTTTTTTAGACGTCTTTTTTTAGACGAGCTTTAGGTCGCCTTTTTTACACGAGCTAGAAGTCGACTCTTATATAGACGAGTTGGAGCTCGTCGATTTTTTAGACGAGCTGGAGGGCGTCGGTATTTAGACGAGCAATAGGTCGCCGGTGTTTAGACGAGCTGGAGGTCGTCGATAGGCGAGCTGACGACTCAAAGGAAATTTTTTAAAATTTTTAATTTGAATTTTCTGTAATTTAATTTTTCTATAGCATGTCCGTCCTGAATACCTTGACCCTGGACATCAGACCAAAGCCAAGAAGAATGCAACAGAAAAATCCCCTCCCAGGCCCGTGAGCAACATTCATCGTGCCACCACTCCCGAACTTCTGGCAGAAATTGCGGCCTTAAAAAGAGATACAGATATTGAGACACATATAACAACAACTGGAAATCCTGCAACAACAACAACAAATGCCCAAAGGATTCGGGACATAAGTGATGAGGAGATCGAGGAACTGATAAGGAAGCTGAAATACCCTGAAGAAGAAACTAAAATATCAAATAATTCCGAATCTCAATACTATACAAATTTCGAGGAGCTACTGGAAGCTCAACAGTCTCCAAGGGGTAGGGCGGGAACCAAATCCCCCTTAATTTCACCCAGTGGCAGAAAGAAGGGAATTCTAAGAAAACCCTCACTCAATGCAACTTTTACCCAGGAGATGGTGGAGGATTTTAATCAAACCTATAATTTATCGCCCGAACAAAAAAGTCCCCCAATTCGTGGAACATTTCAGAAGGTTGAATTTTTGGAAGGCGAAAATTTGCCTGCACCTCAAGTGGCTCAAATCATTGACAACTTAAAAATGACAGAATATCGTAGACCTCAAGCCAAATGGGTGGAGGTCTTGGAGATATCCAAAGGATCATTTCTGGAAGAAGACTTAGATGAGTCCTCTGAAAATTACGATACGGAATTTTTGAAAATTTTACCACCTGCACTTATGAATGAAATTGTGGCCAAAACTGCCCAGCTAACCGAGAGCTATGTAAATGTAAATCTTGACGAGGAAATTGGAACCATGGATACCTATATTGTGGAAGAGGAAGAAACCGATTCGGATTTCGAGAGATTTGAGAGAGAAAATTATATGAAGTACATCAAAGAGAAGCCATTGCCGCAGGATGTTTTAAATTTGTCGATGGATGAGGAGGGAAGCTTGGCGGAATTTATTGCCCTGGAGGTAAATATTTGAGGTTAGGTATAAATGAAGTTTAAAAACTGGAGTTTTTATTGCAGAGCGATTTAAAGGATCTGGATGTGACTTATTTGAAAAATCCCGGCTCCTTGCATTACACTGAAGTTACCGAAGAGGACCCTGAATTAGATCCTCAGGTAGGTCGATTTTCTCCAAAAAATCAAAAATTTAATTTTTGTTTCTTTTTTTTTTTCTTTCAGTTAAAAGTCTACATAAAGACCGATCGCGATATTAACCCCTTAGATGAACTTCCTCAATGTTCCATGGATGCTAATGAAACCTTCGTGCCTTTTCCCGAAGATTTCTACTCACATTATAAAAATCTCCATAAAGCGAAGGAAGCAAAAATTCGCACTCTAAGAGAACAACATTTGCAGAGAACCTTTGAAAGACTGGCAGCTGGTGGTGGTGGTGCTCCCTCGACCAGACGTTCACATTCAAACTGCAGTCGTAGCCAAGTGGAAATTATCCAAAGTCAACGTAGCTCCTCAAAAGCCCACACGAATCGTTCAACATTTTCAACTAAGCCCCAGGCTGTAGTTGAAACATGTTCTCAACGAGGGTCGGCCAAAAAATCTTCGAAATCCGGAAATCAATCGAATCGCAAAAATTTGAAAGTTAGCAAATCCATAGAAGATTTGAAGGTGGAAAAGACCAATATCTACAAGAAAATGAGCGGGACCCAGGAGAAAATCATTGAAGTTTTGGATAAACTTAGGTGAGAGACAAGTCACTGGAATTTTTTCAGAAACAAGTCAGAAAATTTTTGTCGGTTTTCCGACTAGTAAATACTCTTATGGTAACCAATTTTAGGGACATCTTTATCCTATATCTAGTATTATCCAAAAATTACACATTTTCGAGCTTTAAAGAGATTTCGGGATTTATTTCGAATTTTCGTTCAAATTCAAATTTTAATTTTTTTTTATTAAAATTTTGAGTTTTTCAACCTTTGTGGGATAGGTACCAGAAGGAGAAGATCGACACATAAGACATCAAGCGGTATCTTATTGGGAGAATGCGAATCGGACACTAATTTTGGAGAGTTATTTTCATTCAAAATCTTGATATTTTTTGGGGGAGGTATATTAAAACTGCAGGCGTGTGTAGGGAAGGTGTAGCCAATACAGTGTGTGATAAAAAAACTGCAAAAAGTAAAACGCCATAATTTTTACCTTTTTTTTTAATTTTATTAAATGAAAGCAAAAAATGTCGGAAATAGCATCAAATTTCAGAAAACGGTAGATTTGTTCGAATTGGTCACCTTTGGCACGAATTATGGTCCTCAAACGGCCAATGAAACTGTCACGGTCTGCTGCCAAAATGTTTGTGTGCCCAAGGCTTTATACACCCTCCAGAATATTTTCGCGATAATATTCGGCATTTATTTTGATGTCACCGTCCACTAATAAGAGCGGAGAGCGACCATCGGCTGTTATGGCGGCCCACACAATCACCATGACCGACGTTTGAGTTCGTACGAGTGGCTTAGAAACCACTCTGTATTATCCGTATTCACCCCTGAAATAATTTTGATATAAATATTACCACTGATCAGTTTTTTTGGGCCAAACCTATTTCAACGTCTCCATACGTAAATCCTACAAACCAAGCCAACTTGGAAAATTTCAGTGCTATCCTCACTCATATGCAAAACCGTTCAATTTCTCAATTCTAGATAGCAACAGACACCTCAATATCAAATTTCGGATTTCACCTCTTTTCCTTCTCTTCTCAAATAGTACACATTTCCAAAACAATCTCCATATCTCAATCCCAGATAGCAACAGAGACCTTAATATCAAATTTCAGAATTACACCACTATTTCCTTACCCAATATCAAATTTGGTACTATTTAGTACTTATCGTTTAATTATTGTACACTTTTCCAAAACCACTTCCAGATCTCAATCCCAGATACTTACAGTGAGCTTAATATCAAATTTCTGGATTTCAGCTCTGTAACCACCACTTAGTACAATTAACAAATTTGGTGCCACTTAGTACAATTATGGTACGCATATCCAAAGCCAGCTCCTTCTTCCAACCACTGACACCTACAGTGTCCGACATCCCTTCACCCAATAACACATTTAGTACTATTTTCCACTTTTCGTACAAGTTTAGTACTATTTAGTATAATTATAGTACACTTTTCCAAAAACCACTTCGTATCTCAGTTCCAGATACCAACAAAGACCTAAAAAGCAATTTTGATGATTCCAGCCCTGTCCCTTCACCAAATACCAAATTTAGTACCATTTAGTATTTTTCGTAATAATATAGTACACATTTTCAAAATTATCTCCATTCCTCAATGATAGATATCAACAGCGACCTCAATATGAAATTTCAGGTTTTCAGCTTTGTAATTTCCATATTACCAAATTTAGTACCATTTAGTACAATTATAGTACGCATATCCAACGCTAGCTCCTTCTGCCTACCACTGACACCTACAGTGTCCGACATCCGCATCAAATTTCAGAATTCCAGCTCTATACCTTCACCTGATAACAAATTTAGTACTATTTTCTACTTTTCGTACAAGTTTAGTACAATTATAGTACACTTTTCCTAAAACCACTTCGTATCTCACTTCCAGATACCAACAAAGACCTAAAAAGCAATTTTGATGATTCCAGCCCTGTCCCTTTACCAAATACCAAATTTAGTACCATTTAGTACATTTCGTAATAATATAGTACACATTTCCAAAATTATCTCCATTCCTCAATGATAGAAATCAACAGAGACCTCAATATCAATTTTCAGGTTTCAGTTTTGTAATTTCCATATTACCAAATTTAGTACCATTTAGTACATCTATTGTACGCATATCCAAAGCCAGCTCCTTCTGCCAGCCACTGACACCTACAGTGTCCGACATCCGCATCAAATTTCAGAATTCCAGCTCTATCCCTTCACCCAATAACACATTTAGTACTATTTTCTACTTTTCGTACAAGTTTAGTACAATTATAGTACACTTTTCCAAAAACCACTTCATATCTCAGTTCCAGATAACAACAAAGACCTAAAAAGCAAATTTTGATGATTCCAGCTCTGTCCATTCACCAAATACCAAATTTAGTACCATTTAGTACTTTTCGTAATAATATAGTACACATTTCCAAAATTATCCCCATTCCACAATGATAGAAATCAACAAAGACCTCAATATCAAATTTCAGGTTTTCAGGTGTTTAATTTCCATACAACCAAATTTAGTACCATTTAGTACATCTATGGTACGCATATCCAAAGCTAGCTCCTTCTGCCAACCACAGACACCTACAGTGTCCGACATCCGCATTAAATTTCAGAATTCCAGCTCTATACCTTCACCCGATAACAAATTTAGTACTATTTTCTACTTTTCGTGCAAGTTTAGTACTATTTAGTACAATTTTCCAAAAACCGTTTCGTATCTCAGTTCCAGATACCAACAAAGACCTAAAAAACAATTTTGAAGATTCCAGCCCTGTGCCTTCATCAAATACCAAATTTAGTACCATTTAGTACATTTCGCAAAAATATAGTACACATTTCCAAAATTATCTCCATTCCTCAATGATAGAAATCAACAGCGACCTCAATATCAAATTTCAGGTTTTCAGCTTTGTAATTTCCATATTGCCAAATTTAGTACCATTTAGTACAATTATGGTACGCATATCCAACACGAGCCCCTTCTCCCAAACACAGACACCAACGCTGACATCAACATCGAATTTCGTGTTTCCAGCTATATCCCTTCACCTATTACCAAATGTAGTACTATTTAGTACTTTTCGCAAAATTATAGTACACGTTTCCAAAATCCACTTCATATCTCAGTTCCGCATACCAACAAAGATCGCAATGTCAATTTTGAGGATTCCAGCGCAGCTCCTTCACGCAATACCCAATTTAGTACCCTTTAGTACTTTTTCTACAAATATAGGACGCATTTTCAAAATCACAGCTAAATCTCAAACAAAGATACCATCAGCAATCTAAACATCAAATTTTAGAATTCTATCTCTATCCCTTCACCCAATATAAAATATAGTACCATTCGGTACTTTTGGTACAATTATATGCCTCGTTTCCGAAACAACCTCGATATATCAGGGTTACACATGAACAGCGACCCTAATACAAAATTTCAGATATTAAGCACTTTCATATCATATTGTACCAAATATAGTACTGATTAGTACTTCTGTGCATTTCGAGTACCTATTTCCAAAATCACCTCCAAGCTCAATTCCGAATACCGACTGAGACCTCATTATCAAAAATTCGGGATTTCAGCTCTATTCTTTTACCTAATGCTAAATTTAGTACCATTTAGTACTTTTCGTACTTTTCGTACAAATGTAAGACGAATTTCCAAACCGCAGCCAAATTTCAAATACAGATACCATCAGTAATCTAAATATTTGATTTCAGAATTTATCTCTATCCCTTCACCAAATACTAAATATAGTACCATTCGGTACTTTTCGAACAATCATAATACACATTTCGGAAACCACCTCCATATCTCCAGGCTACATATGGACACCGACCCTAATACCTAATTTCAGATTTCAAGCACTGTCTGTTCACCCAATATCAAATTGTGTCAAATATGGTACTATTTAGTTCTTTTCATGCACTTCTGGTAACCATTTCCAAAACCACCTCTATATCACAACCCAACCATCAACAGGGACCCCAATACAACATTTCAAAATTTTATCTTCAACCGTTCAACCCTAAATCAAACTGTACCAAATTTAGTAACAATAAGTACAGTTCGAACACTTAGTACACATTTCGAAAGCCACCTTCAAATCTCAATTCCATATACCAGCAATATCAAGTTTCGAGATTCCATCTCTATCCATTCACCCAATATCAAATATAGTACCATTCGGTACTTTTCATACAATCTCCATATCCTCCATATGTCCAGGTTACACATGTGTAGCGACGCTAATGCAAAATTTTAGATTTCAAGCACTATCTGTTCATCCAATACCAAGTTGTACCAAATATAGTACTACTTAGTACTTTTCCTGCACTTGTAATACCCATTTGCCACATCTTTATCACAAACCTACCATCAACGGGGACCCCAATGCAAAATCTTAAAATTCCATTTTCATCCGTTCATCCTAAACAAAACTATATCAAATTTAGTACCATTTAGTACAGTTGCCACACACTTAGTACATATTTACAAATCCACTTTCATATTTCTAACTTATTTTCCAACCTTAGTTCTCATATCAAATTTCAAGTTTTTAGTTCTATCCCTTCACATAATTCTAAATGGTACCATTTTAGAAATTTAGTACAATTTTTGGAGCATTTCCTTAATTTAAAGTTCGAATTTGCAAAAAAAAAAACCTTTGGTACATCTATCCTGAACTCCATTAGTGACTCTCATTCCAATTTTCAAAATTCCAGCTCCATCGGTTCATCACAACTCCAATTTGTACCAAATTTAGTGACAATTTAGTACGAATTTCCAAAGCTTCCTACAATCCCACACTGATTCCAATCCCAAATCTTAGGATTTCGTCCAAATACAAATTGTACTTTTTTTAGTACATATTAGTATAAATTTCCAAAACTACATACCTATCCCAATCCTACACTGCGACATTAAAATTTTTTTTTTAAATTTTTAGGATACCTTGGGTCACCTAAATCCTAATTGTACCAAATTTAGTGCCATTAAGTATACTTAAGTACAAGTTTCCATAACTACCTACATCAAACAGTTCAAACAAGTCTTTTTTTTCAAATGTCAGAATTCCAACTCTATTTGTTCTCCCAAAATTTAAATTGTGCAAACTTTAGTACCATTTAGTACATATAAGAACGAATTTCTAAAACTACCCACATACCTCAGCCCTACAATACCATAGTAATCATATTTCTAAATTTCGGAATTCCACCTCTTTGGGTTGAACCAAATCGAAATCCTAATAAAATTTAGTACCATTTAGTACTTAGCGTGTACATATGTACACATTTCGAAAAATTCTTCCATATCCCAATCCTACACTCCGGCAGTAATGTTAATTCCAAATTTCAGAACACCAGCTCCATTGGTTCACCCAAAATACGAATTGACCAAATTTAGTACAATTTTTACATATAAGTACAAATCTGCAAAACTATCTACGTATCCGGATCTTATATTTCTACAGTAATCTTAGTTCCCAATTTTCAGGATACCAACCCTATTGGTTCAACTAAATCCAAATTGTAACAAATTTAGTGCCATTTAGTGCACCTAAGTTTCCAAAACTACGTATATTCCTCAGTCCTATAATGCAATAGTAATCATATTTTCAAATTTCAGAATGCCAGGTCTATCGGACTCCAGTTCCATCGGATATCAGGCCCATTGGTTCACCCAATATAATTTTTTTCCAAATTTAGTACCATTTAGTACACTTAAGTACAAGTTTTCAAAACTACCTACATCATACAGTTCAATAGAAATATTATTTTTAATTTTCAGGATTCAAACTCTACTGCTTTACCCAAAATCTAAATTGTACCAAATTTAGTGCCATTTAGTGCACATAAGTACGAGTTTCTAAAACTACCTACATTCCTCAGTCCTATAATGCAATAGTAATCATATTTCCAAATTTCAGCTCCATCGGTTCATACCAATCGAAATGGTACCAAATTTAGTACCATTTAGTAATTTTCATTGACATAAGTACACATTTTGAAAACTTTTTCCATATTCCAATCCTACACCCCGCCTGTAATGTTAATTTCAAATTTGAGAATCCCATCTCCATCCGTTCCTCCAAATTCAAATTGTACTAAATTTAGTACTGTTTAGTACTTTTCGTATAAATGAGTACACACGTCCAAAACTACCTTCTTACATCGACATACCTACTCCTCAATCCTGATTCCCATTCCGAATTTCAAGTTTTTAGCTCTAACCGTTCACATGATACGAAATGGTACCAAATGTAGTACATTTTAGTACTTTTCGTACACTTATAGAATTTCCAAAAATCCTTAAATACATCTATCATACACTCCATCAGTGAGCCTCATTCCAAATTTAAGAGTTCTAGCTGTACTGCTTCCTCAAATACCAAGATTACCTTATTTAGTACCTTTTAATACATTTCGTACCTTTCTAGTACGAATTTTCAAAAACCCAGTCTTATCTAATTCCTTCGGACCAAGGGTGACCCATACCCCAAATTTAAAGATTCTAGCTTCAGCTGTTTCGTCTGGTCATTGATGATCCGTTAAGTCAGTCTGGCAATCCGTCAATCAGTCAGTCACTCAGACAATTACTTTACTCTTCTATTAATACAGATTTTCTTTCTATTCATATTTCAGGATCGGTTTACTGGAGTTAAACGTTCCCGACAATAGTTTGGAGAAAAACAAACGACAAAAGAATGCCTTTGAATTTGCGGTGCGATTTTCGAGAAATTTCCTCTATCCCTTGAAGGGAATGGTAAGTCCTCGACCAGCTGCTATATACACAAATACCTTCTAATATCAAAAAATTTCCCTCCTTTTCAGTTAGAAGACCTCAAATCCACCCCCATGGAACAATTCAATAGCCTCACCTCCAACGAGGCTTGCCTGCGTGTCTGCAACCTCTTCAGCCTGCTGCTACAATCGGTGAATACCTATCAGAAACAGCTGAGATATTTCCTCTTGGATCATGTCCCACAAAAGTTACCGATTTTAATCGAAATGATTTACATGACAACCAGCCAATGTCGGGAGAAACAAATTTTCTCACCCCAGGATGTTATCCTGGATAGTTTGCAGCAGAGATGCATGAAGTTTTTCGATTTCTTACAAGATCTCCAGGATGGCCAACTGAATACGATGCGGGAAAATCATCGGAAATTAACGCGGGATAAGGCAAAGCCAAAATATGATTTGAAAATGTTCATGAACGATCTGAATATGTACGAACCGAAGTTGGTACCGAAATCGTCGGCCAAGCGGGGGAAATGTAAGGTAAGGACTTTTAACTTTAACTTATACCTTACTGAATACCTTACCACACTTACTGCCTCTACATAAAAAAAGAAGTTTAATATCATGTCACTTATTCCTTACCAAACACCTTACCTCAACCATTACCTCTAATAAGACAGTAACGGACAGTTATTTCTGGTACCTTGCTCATATGGAAGAGGTAGCTGACATACTTCAAAATTGACACGTCCTTCCATTTTGATAAGACCTAGATGAGACTCAAGGTTCCACAAAATTTGAAGATCCAGTGAGGTTGTCTACATTAGGTTAAGTGTGGCCAACCTTTCAAAAGTTCAAAAATGCCGAGAAAGTCACACTATGCGACATAAAAATAATTACAGGAACAAAACCCAGTAGATTTTTATAAAGGTCTATACTTTTCATGTAGTTTATACCTTACTAAACAGCTTACCCTACACATTACCTCCGACATTTCTACCCTTTTTTATACCTTCAGCCATATGGCTAGAGAGGGTATGTATCATTTGATAGGTCAAAACGTGCCTCATGGAAATAACGGTTTTAGATCCTAGGTCTCTATGGACCAAACCCGTTTCAGGACATTTGGAGTCGATCTGGAGATGTCCGTCCGACCGGCTGTCCATCTGCCTGCCTGGCTGGTATGCACGATAACTCTTGAAGCGATTTAATCCGAACTTGGTACATCGAAATATTATTATCAAACTTAGATGAAGTTCGGAGATGGGCAATAACAGCCCACACCTTCTGATACCTCCCCCCACAAAATGTCAACATTTTGACAGAAAATTATTTACCTCACAGAACAAGAAAGGATCATTCGATTTTGTTTAAACTAAACTCCTAATATTTGTGTCACTGCTAGGTCAGGTGCGAAAATGGACAATATCGGTCCACTTTATCAAGTACCTCCCCAACTAAGGGTCAATATTTAGAATAATTATAACTCTTATAAAATGTGATGTAAGTGTCCGATTGCCTTCAAATTACACACATTAGAGAATTTTTATTAACCCAAGGTCTGGTGCCAAGATGGAATACATCGCACACACACCTTCTAATACCTAATCCACAAAAGGTCGAAATTTTCAAAAAACAAAATTCTGCACAGAGGGAGGAGCAATAATCCGATTTTGCTCCAAATCCTAAAATTAGCCTTAGTTCTAGGTCAGGTGCAAAAACGGATAATACTGGTCCACTCCTTCAAGTGCCTCCCCCACAAAGGGTCAAAGTTTTGAATAAATAAACGATCAGAAAATCCAAAAAGAGTATCCGGTTCTCTTTATATTTCACACATCCCATTATTTCTACTAACACAAGATCTGCTGTGAAGATGTTTAAGATCGGACCATTCCTTATGGTAGCTCCCCTACAAAGGGTCAAAATTTTGAATATTTATAAAGCTTATAAAACATGAAATTATCATCCGATTCCATTCAGACTTGGCACATCTCAATATTTCCATCAACACAAGATCTGTAATAAAGATGGTAGAGATCGGACCATTCTTTCTGGTACCTCACAAGGGTCAAAGTTTCGAATAAGCGAAACGATTATAAAATCCGAAATAAGTATCCGGTTCTCTTTATAGAGATCGGACCATTCCTTCTGGTACCTCACAAGGGTCAAAGTTTCGAATAAGCGAAACGATTATAAAATCCGAAATAAGTATCCGGTTCTCTTTATATTTTGCACATCCCATTATTTCTACTAACACAAGATCTGCTGTGAAGATGTTTAAGATCAGACCATTCCATATGGTAGCTCCCCTACAAAGGGTCATTCATGAAGCTCATAAAACACAAAATTAATATTAGATTCCATTCAGACCTGACATATCTCAATATATCCACCCACTAAAAATCCGCTAAAAATATGGTAGAGATCGGACCATTTCTTTCTGTTACCTCCCCCACACGGGTTTCGAGATTTTGAGAAGCAAAACGATCATAAAATCCGAAATAAGCTTCCGGTTCTCTTCATATTTCACACATCTTGTTATTTCTACTAAAGTGAAGATGGGATATATCGGTCCATTCTTTATAGTACCTCCCCCCCAATGGGTCAAAATTTGGAATATCTATGAAGCTCATAAAACGTGAAATTAATGTCCGATTCCATTCAGACCTGACATATCTTAATATATCCACCAATCCAAAATCTGGTATAAATATGGTAGAGATCGGATCATTCCTTCTGGTACCTCCCCACAAAATTTCAAATAACCAAACGATCATAAAATCCGAAATAAGCATCCGGTTCTCCTCATATTTCACACATCCTTTTATTTCTGCTTGCTTGAGGTGTTCGACACTTTAGTATTTTTTAGCTCCAACCTTGCTTTCCAATATACTCCAGGAAAAATAGTCCAACATCCGTTGATATCCGGAGATTTTGGTGGTTTGGCGGCCATTGTGCGCTGGAAATGAAGCGAAGAACCGCATTTTGTAACCGTTCTTGGGTAGCGCGTGATGAGTGCGATGGTGCTCCTGAGTCCTGTTGGAATGTCCAAGGTCTGCGGCCAAAATGTTTGCATGCCCAAGGCTTTAATACACCCTTCAGAATATTTTCGCCATAATATTCGGCATTTATTCTGATGTCACAGTCGATTAATACGATCGGAGAGCGACCATCAGCTATTATGGCGGCCCACACCATCACCATGGCCGGCGCTTGAATTCTGGTGGCCAACCGATGGTGCACATTTTCAGCTGACCTCTTTGGCAAGTAAACACGATCTTTTTGTTTGTTTACAAACTGCTGAATAACGAATTCTCACGGAGCGAATTTTCTCATCGGAGCGGAGAAATCCAAATTCGGTAGTTCACCACTTTCGATCAAGCGAAGCAACTCTTTAGCTCTTTTGAGTCTATTTCCTTTCTGTTGCGGTGTAAGTTCTTGCACTTTTTGGAATTTCAATGGCTTTACCCCGAGCTCATTTTTCAATATTTGCCAAATGGAATATCGCGATATGTTTAGCTCACGAGCCATTTTTTCGACCACTTCGACGCGGGTTTCGATCAAGTTGTCCCTTCTTTACTTTTCGAACCATTTCTGCTGCTGTTGCTGTTTTCTTCCGTCCACCTCCTTGACGTCTGGCAACGCTACCAGTATCACAGTAACGAGCGATGGTACGAGACACAAAATATTTATTCACATTTAAATGCCATTTTCCAGCCAAATATAAAGAAATCACACAATCACGCTTGAATTCCATCACGAATAATTTTTTTTCGGGAAAATTCTTACCAAAATGCTTTTGTACGCTTGTGAACAATATTATGAGCCGTCACTAGAAAAATTTTAACAGCTGACGGACAAGTGGCTTAGAAATGACAGCAGTCTGAAGTTGGTTGCAGTTTTTTCATCTCACCCTATGGGGTTCAAGATTTTGAAAAACAAAACGCTCAAATAAAGCGAAATACGCATCCAACACTCTTCAGATTTCACACACAAGCATTTTTGCTGACTCAATTTTTGTTGTTGTGAAGATGATATATAGCTGCGAACCCCTTCTGGTACCTCACCCACCAAGGGTCACAATTTAAGTACTTTTATCTATTTTAATTTGCGAAACTTGCAGATACTTTTTTATTTGTTTTTTTTTAATCCCTTTTCTCTCTCAAATTCTTAATGGACATATTTCTCTCTCTCTCCTTCTCACAGCCAAAACGTCCCATTAAATCGGTGCCAATTGAAGATTTGCCAGACGACACGATCAAAGAGAAGCCTCAGGAAGACACTATTGCCACACAAATCGAGCATGTTCCCCTTGAAAATAAAAGTTCCACAAACATAAATCTGGGTTCAGGTGATGCTAATCCGCCTGGCCTGGATAAATCTGTGCTGGAGGCATTACAAAATCTAACAAAAGAACAAGTTCGCAAAGTTCTTGAGCCAATGTTGAAGTCACTGAGTTTGACATTGGGCAAACAGGTAAGTGCGAGGATTTCCGTTTTCTTTTTAGGCTAATTTATTTTTTAAAATCTTTTTTTATAAGTCTGGCATAAATGTTGATTGCATAGCTGAGGTATTTGCCAACATAACTATTGCGTCTAGAGTTTGAGTCGTTATGGTCAGTTCGATGAGGCACTTAGTCAATGGTGGCTGTGATGATTTGAGTTTTGTACATTTTAAATTACCTACAAATGTTGAAAAATTATGGTATTGTTAAAATTATTTCGAAGTTTGAAAATAAAATATTTAAAATTTATTTGAATATGGGTTCCAATTTTTCGCTCAAATATCTGATGTAGTCTTCGTTGGAATTATACTTTTCGAATTTCGAAAAAAGGAAAGTTGTGATGCTATATATCGGCTATACACCGAAAACTTTTTTTTTCGAAATTCGAACAAAATAGCAGAAATATTAAAAAAACAAACTTTTTTGAAAAAAAAAAAAAATCGGATGCAATTGCAATTTTTGAATTTCGGGAAAAAATTGTGCTCATTGGTGCCATATTAATCTATTCCCACAAGTCTTAAATAACACTGTGCAACACAAAAAATTACTACGGAGGAAAATCCAGCAAATTATGAAAGTATAGCTAAAAAATTGAAGACTCGTGTATCGCCATTTTGAGAGTTTGCATCAAAAAGTACCCAAAATAGAGGGGGCAATTTCCCCCCACTGTTACACTTTTGGAAATTTTCGGATTAAGATTCCTCGGAATCTATACAGTTTAGGTATACAGGGTGAGATAAAAAAACTGCAACCAACTTCAGACTGCTGTCATTTTTAAGCCCCTCGTCCGACAACTGTTAAAATTATTCCAGTGACAGCCCTTTATATTGTTTACAAGCGTCCAAAAGCATTTTGGTGAGAATTTTCCAGAAAAAAAGTTATTGATGATGGAATTCAAGCGGGATAGCACGATTTCTTTATATTTGGCTGGAAAACCACAAGTGGCTACGTTAGAGCACTCCAGCATTTAAATGTGAATTAATCTTTTGTGTCCCATAACATCGCTCGCTACCGTGATACTGGTAGATGTGGTAGCGTAGCCCGACGTAAAGGAAGTGGACGGAAGAAAACAGCAACATCAACAGAAATGGTTCGAAAAGTACAGAAGAGACTCGAAAACGATCGAAACCTGCCTCACAGTGGCCGAAAAATGGCTCGTGAGCTGAACATATTGCAATATTTTATTCGGCAAATATTGAAAAATGAGTTCGGGCTAAAGCCATTGAAATTCCAAAAAGTGAGAAAATAGACTCAAAAGAGCTAAAGAGTTGCTTCGATTGGCCGAAAGTGGTGAACTGCCGAATTTGGTTTTCTCCCCTCCGATGAGATAACATTCGTTGTCCAGCAGTTTGTAAACAAACAAAATGATCGCCTTTACTTGCCAAAAAGGTCAGCTGAAATGTGCACCTTCGGTTGGCCACCAGAACTCAAGTGCCGGCCATGGTGATGGTGTGGACCGCCATAACAGCCGATGGTCGCTCTCCGCTCGTATTAATCGACCGTGGCATCAGAATAAATGCCGAATATTATCGCGAAAATATTCTGGAGGGTGTATTAAAGCCTTGGACACGCAAATATTTTGGCCGCAGACCTTAGACTGGACTCAGTACCACCGCACTCAGCACACGCCATCCAAGAATGGTTAAAAATGAGGTTCCTCGCTTCATTTCCAGCGCACAATGGCCACCAACATCTTCATCTCCGGATACCAATCCGTTGGACTATTGTTTCTGGAGTATTTTGGAAAGCAAGGTTAGGAAAAAAAAATAACAAATTGTCGATAACCTCAAGCAAGCACTTCGCCAGGGATGGGCCAAAATACCACAAAGCAAATATTCAGGCAGCATGTGACAGTTTCATTGGCCATTGGAAGGCAATAATTCGTGCCAAAGGTGACCATTTCGAACAAATCTAAACTTATTCTAAAATTTGATGCTATTTGCGATATTTTTTGCTTTCATTCAAAGAATAAAAAAAATGTAAAAATTGTGGCGTTTGATTTTGTTGCAGTTTTTTTTCTATCTCACCCTGTATAGTAAGAATTTCAATCACAGATACCAACAAAGACCTTAATATGAGATTTTCAGGATTCTAACTTTATTCCCTCACCCAATACCAAATTTAGTACTTTTCGTCCAAATGTAGAACACATTTCCAAACCACCACAAATCTCAAACACAGGTACCATTTGTAATTTAAATATCAACATTAAAATTTTATCTCCATCCATTCACCCAATAGTAGTGCTTTTCGTACAATTAATACCAAAATCTTTTTCGACCTTAATACCAAATTTTAAGATTTCAAGCACTCTCCGTTTAGTCAAAACGAAATTGTATCAAACATAGTACTATTTTGTACTTTTCGAGCACTTGTGGTACACATTTCCAAAACAATATCTTTATCATAAACCTACTACCAACAGGGATCCCAATCCAAAATTTCAGCTTCGTCCGATCACCCTAAACCCAACAGTTCCAAGTTTAGTACCATTTCGTACAGTTCGCACACTTAGTACACATTTCCCAAACCACCAACTTCATATATCAAACTTACTATCAAGTCTTGATTCTTATACCAAATTTAAAGTTTTTAGCTCTATCCGTTCACTTAATACCAAATGGTACCAATTTCAGTACTATTAAGTACTATTTAAGAACTTTTCGTAACCTTAAAGTTCGAATTTCCAAAAATCCTTTGGTACATCTATGCTGCACTACATCAGTGACTCTCATTCCAAATTTCAGAATTCTAGCTCATTCCCTTTATGCAAATCCAAGTATTCAGTTTTTAGTACTTTTCGTACGCTTTTAGTACGAATTTCCAAAAACACAGTCTTTACCACATGCCTACGCACTAAGACTAGCACTCGGGCAAAATATCAAAATTCCAGCTTCAGTCGTTTCGTCAAGGCGTTGATTCTCAGTCAGTCAGTTATTGAACTTCCCCTTTAGAGTTTCCATGTTTGAATTTAAATGAAATTATGATGAGAGTCAATCGAATGAGAATTGTTGAACTTTTTTTTATTATTTACCCAATTTTCAATATCGACGAAATCATAACCCATAAATACTTTGGTTTTATTTAGGAGATTTTATTTTTTTTATTTTATATTACAACTGCATATATCGGTAAATACAATTTCATAATAATAAATTTGAATATCGATATTAACATTAGTTTTTATACAAAAAAAAAATCAATTTTGATTATATTTTAAATTGTTTTTATAAATTAATTAATTAAGAGTTAACATTATTACAAAAAATAATAATAATAAAAAAATAATTAAATAGAAATAACATGCAATTATATTTGAAGTTTGTTTTGAAAGTTTTGTTCATGAAAGAGAGAAAAATATTATTTTCTTAAAAAAAAAATGTTAAGAAAAGTAATGTTGCCATAGGCTTGATGCTATGTTAACAGTAATTTAACATTTTTTTTAGGTTATAAATTTTCCCATGCTATAGTTGGAATGTTAAAAAAAATAACAATATTTTTTGAAATTGAAATTTAATATAATGTCAATTAGTTTTGCATTTTAAAATAATAACAAATAGTATGAGCATTTTTTTAAGAAGTGGGAGAATGGGAGATTATATAATTTTAATTTTTATTTATTTATTTTTTTTTTAAAATAATAATTTTGAAATTTTATTTCAAAATCTTATTATTTTATAAGGAAATATATAACCAATATGTGAACACAGTGTTTGGAGGGGGATGCAAATCTAAAGATATCCTGGAATTAAAAAAAAAATCCAAGAGAAATTCTGTGAAATTTAACACAATCTGTTAATAACAGTTTATGTTATTTTACTACAAATCCAAAAAAGATAAGAATTTTGAAAATTTTTAAAGATATCCTGCAAGTCAAAAATATCCAGAAGAACCTCTGTGAAATTGAACAGAATCTGTTAATAACAGAAGATGTTATTTTATTACAAATCAAGAAAAGGATAAGAATTTTGATAGTGGCCTTATGTTATTAACATTACTGTAAAATTTTTTAAAGACTGTTAACAGAATCTGTTAAACCGCTACATAACAGTCTCTGAAATTGAAATCTTTTTGTCTATCATGTAATTTTAAAAATTTCAGTTTAAATTTAACAGAATCTGTTAATAACAGTTGATGTTATTGCCGATCAAGAAATAAGAAAAAATCACATTATAGTATCCTTCCCTTAACTTTACAGATTCTGTTAAGTAACGACTGTTAATAGCCTCTGTTGAACTGACTTTTAGCAGTCTCTGTTATTGAAATCTGTTAAGCCGTTAATAGAGTAATTTTTTGAAAAATCTGTTAAAAATTTGTTAAGCCGTTACTTAACAGTCTTTTAGCAGTCTCTGTTATTGAAATCTGTTAAGCCGTTAATAGAGTAATTTTATGAAAAATCTGTTAAAAAATTGTTAAGCCGTTATTTAACAGTCTCTGCTATAGAAATCTGTTAAGCCGTAAATCGAGTGACTTTATAAAGAATTTGTTGTGTAACGACTGTTAATAGAATCTGTTAAACCGTTACATAACAGTCTCAACAGAATCTGTTAACAACAGCATATGTTATTACAAACCCATACATAAGAGAAAATCGGATGCGGTCCTACTTCATTAACATTTCATAAATTTAAATTTTTTTTAACTTTACAGTATCTGTTAACAGACTGTTAATAGAATCTGCTGAGCCGCTTCTTAACATCTATTTTATAGAAATCTGTTAACCTGTTAAGAGACTAACTTTATGAAGAATCAGTTAAGTAACGACTGTTATTGGAATCTGCTGAGCCATTACTTAACATATCTGTTATTGGAATATGTTAACCTTCTAACAGAGTGACTTTATGAAAAATCTGTTAACTAACTTCTGTCAACAAAATTTGTTGAGGGGTTAATTAACAGTCTCTGCTATTGAAATCTGTTAAGCCGTAAATCGAGTGACTTTATGAAGAACTTGATGTACACCGACTGTTAATCAAATCTTATAAGGCGTTACATAACAGTCTCTGCAATTGAAATCTTTTAAACCATCCTGTAACTTTATTCCAGCAGAAATTCTATGTAATTTAAGAGAATCTGTTAATAACAGATTAGGTTATGTAACTGGAAATAAAGAAATATGATGTTGTTTACATTACAGTAACATTGTCTTGACTTTACAGATTCTGTTAAGTAACGACTGTTAATAAAATCTGCTGAGCCGTTACTTAAACATGCTGTTATTGGAACCTGTTAACCCGTTATTACAGTGACTTTATGTAAAATCCTTTAAATAACTACTGTTAATAGAATCTTCTGAACCGTTACTTAACATCTCTGTTATTGGAATCTGTGACTTCATGAAGAATCTGTTAAGTAACGTGTGTTAACAGAATCTGTTAAACCCTTACTTTATAGTCTGTTAAGCCGTAAATATTGGGTCTTTATGAAGAAATGAGAGTTTTGACTAGTATTTTTTGTCACTCCTGTAAATGAAATCCGAAACTGGGTCCAATAGAATACCCTTAAAAATTCCAGGAGAAACTAAATTTACAGAATCTGTTAATAACAGTTTGTTATTTTGTTGCAAATGTTATTCACATTACTGTAACATTTTCCTAACTTTGCAGATTCTGTTAAGTAACGACTGTTAATAGAAGCTGCTGAGCCCTTACATAGCATTTCTGTTATTGGAAACTGTTAACCCTCTGTTATTGGAATCTGTTAAACCTCTGTTATTGGAATCTTTTGACCCCTTAGAGTGACTTTTGGGTCCAATTAACTGAGTTTTGTTAGAATAAAAATTCAAAATTTCCTAGGCCCTTTCCAGAATCTGTTAAGCTGTTATATAAGAATTTTTTAAATTTTGAATTTTTTTATTGACAAATACACATCTTGAAATTTGTATTTCCTCTGGGAAAATTCTTGGGAATATCGGAATTTTTACTCCTTACGATCTCTGAAATGATTTCGAAATACACATCTTGAAATTTGTATTTCCTATGGGAAAATTCTTCGGAATATCTTTATTAGTTGCAACCTTTTGCAAAAAAAAAAAAATAAAAATAAAAAAAAAATTAAAAAATTTTAAATTTGAAAATTTTCAAAAATTATGTCTGTGTGTTTTTTGTTCCAAATATTGTAAGTGTGTAAGTGCAATTGATGCTAAAAAAATTGCAAGTGTATTGAATTTAGTGTTATCCTAGGAAGATCTGCTACAATTACTTTCCCCAAAAAAAAAAAGAAAATTCCCTAGGAAAGGACACTTATTTGCCACTGATCACTGCTGCTTGGAACTCGAAAGTAGTATGGCTCTAATTTAATTAAAAAAATATTCTATACATATTCCGTAGTTGCCACACTGTGTAAAAATTTATAGCTACTTCCAACCCAAATTCTACGAATATTCTTATAAGGCCTTCTTTTTTTCTAATTTTTTTCTTCAAATTTTCAATGATATCTAATGAGAGAGAGTGCTAGAGTGAGAGAACAAAAGTGTGAAAGAGATAGTTTCGTTGTTATTTCCTAATAGTATTTAAAATTGTTTTGTTTTTTTTTTTAATATAGTTGAGTTTTTGATTTAGTTTTTCTTGTAGTTTTTTGTTTTTTGCTGGGCTAATTATCCTTCGTGAGAGAGGGAGGGAGGTGAGAATTCCCATTTAGGCCGCACAATCTGTACAAACTGGTCGATTTTCTTCCACAGCAAAGGTTGAGGCAGTTATGGGATTTTCACATTTCTGAGAAAGAAAAAGAAAAAAGGAAGGGGAGAGTTGAAAAAATAATAAAAATAAATTTTTTAACCTAGAAAACCATAAAAATCACCTGAAATTATGATGGATGAAATGTGGATTTTGATAATTTAATGCATTGTCCTGGGGCAGGATTCTTGTTCTATGAAAATATGAAATGAAAAATATTTCCTTTATAAAATTTTTCACATTTGACAAAAGTTTTCATTTCACATTTTCGTGGAATAAGAATTCAGGTCCTGGCCCCCGAAGAACCCAATGCTTAGATTTATATTCCAAAAGACTTTCCTTCCTTACCTTGCACTTAAAACAATCCCTATGCCATTTGGCCTCCAAGGCGACTATGGCATTCTCCGTTATGGGTCTGGTACAACCGGCACAGCGTGCTGCAAAAAGTTCTTCAAAATCCGTTTTGCAATAGGCCTTGCCATCCCGCTCATAGAAGGAGGTGCCCACCAAGGGTTTATGACAAGGTCCGCCGCAGCAGAAACATTCCTCGTGCCAGGTCTTGCCCAAGGCCTTTATGGTGCGCTGAAATAGGAAGGAGTGAAAAAAAATTAAAATTATTAAAAAATTTAAACAATTTTATAAGAAGTAAAATAAAATAACATTTTGTTTTTGGGTTTCCAGAGGGAATTTTTTATATTTTTAAGAATATTTTCTAATTCTTTTTATGAATATTTATATTCATCTTATTTTTTTATTTAATATTTATTTATTTTATTTAATATTTATATTATTTTTTTTAATTAATATTTTGTAAGGGAAAAACTGGTAAAAATCATAAAAAAATCGAATTAAATTCATTAAAAATAAAAAAATTAAAGTTTTTCTGTGTTTTATATTTTGAAAAATCATTAATATTCTAAGTATTGCTTTTTTAAGGAAAAACTAATCAAAAATATTAAAAGAACACAATAATCGACATAATTTTATAAAAAATATGGAATAAACCAGATTTTTTTCTGACATTTTTTTATATCTTTAAAAATATTTTTTTTTTAATTTTTAAAGAATATTGAGGAATATTAAAAAAAAAACTAATAAAAGTCGTGAAGACTCATAAAATTTCAATTACATTTTTATATATGACATTTGTATTATATCCTTAAAAATATTTTTTTTTTTATTTTTTTAAAAATATTAAAGAATATTTTTTTAAGAAAAAAAAAACTAATAAAAGTCATGAAAACTTATAAAAATAAAATTACATTAATAAAAAATAAAATAAATTAAAGTATTTTTTTCAAAGTTTTATATAAAATTTTCATTTAATTTTTAAGAATATTTTCTAATTCTTTTAAAAATATTTTTTTAGGAAAGACTGATTAAAATCCTAAAAAAATATTCATAAAAAAAATATTCTTTAAAAATAATTAATCATTACAATATTAGGGTTTAATTTATAAAACATTTAAAACATTTTTTCTGGGTTTTTAGATGCAATTTTTATTGTATTTTTAAAAAAATTATGCATTCTTAAAGGAAAGGCTGACCAAAATAGTAAAAATCCATAAAAAAAGAATTAATTTATAAAAAATACGAAATAAACTGAACTTTTCTATTGAGTTCTAGATGACATTTTTATTAAACAAAAATTAATTATTTTTAAAGAATATTTTTTTAAGAAAAAACAAAACTGGCCAATTGTCGAATCAATGTGGATCTTTTTAAATATTTTCTCAATAGCTATATGACCTATCTTGTGGATTTTTTAGGAGTATTTTTCAATATTTGTAGGATTTGAATTTGGTCAGTCCCAAGGTCTACTGCAAAAACAATTGTACGTTTTATTAGAATATTTTTGTTTTTTTTTTTTTTCAATATTTTATATAGGTTCGATGGGCCTTTTATATCCTCGAAATTTATATTTAATCGCCTCAAATGGTAAAAAACAACAATGGTGGATTTTTATACCCTCAGCCATATGGCTAGAGAGAGATAGGTATAATTTGATGCAGCCAAAACGTGCCTTATCGAAACAACGGTTTTAGACCCTATGACTCTTTGGACCAAATCCGTTTCAGGACATTTGGAATCGATCTAGCGATGTATGTCCGTCCGACCGTCTGTCTGTTTGGCTGGCTGGTGCGCGGAGTATCCGATTTGGTACATCGAGTTCGGACATGGGCAATATCGGTTCACTCCTTTTTGGAACCTCCCCTACAAAATGACAAATTTTTCAAAGAAAATAATTTACTACACAGAAATAGAAAGGATAATCCGATTTTGTTTCAACTTTTCAAATCCTAATATTTGCATCAGTGTTAGGTCAGGTGCGAAACTGAACAATATCAGTCCACTCCATCAAGTACGTCCCCCACAAAGGGTCACCATTTTGAATAATTATAACTCTTATAAAATAATGATGATGTAAGTGTCCGATTGTCTTTCAATTACACACATCACAATATTTTTATAGACCCTCTAACATAGTATGGAGGCTATATTAATTTTGTCATTCCGTTTGTAACACCTCGAAATATACATTTTAGACCCCACAAAGTATATATATTCTTGATCAGCATAAAATTCTATGTCGATTTAGCGATGTCCGTCCGTCTATGGAAATCACTCTCGCTTCCGAACGAAATGAAGTAGGTTGATAACATTTTACTCAAATGTGTATTATGTCTGCAGGACTTTTGGCATTGAAAAAGAGTCACGTAGGTCAACGTTTTGGAATAGCCCCCATATAATGGTACCTCCCTGTTTTCGGTATTTGTGTGATTTAAACGACATTATTCACCGGAATTATTTCAAATTTTGTATTTGAAGTTCGTAATGGATGCTACAGCCTATGACAAAAAATTGTCTGTGCAGGTACACGTCTTCGTATAGCCCTCATATATCTGTACCCCCCGAAATTCGGTATTTTGATGAGTTTAGCGACATTACTCATCGGAATTGATTCAAATTTGGTATTTGATGTTCGTAATGGATGTTACAGGCTATGAGAGAAAATTGTCTGAGCAGGTCCACGTGTTCGTATAGCCCCCATATATCTGTACCCCCCGATATTCGGTATTTTGATGATTTTAGCGACATTATTTACCGGGATTATTTCAAATTTTGTATTTGAAGTTCGTAATGGATGCTACAGCCTATGACAAAAAATTATTTATGCAGGTCCACGTCTTCGTATAGCCTCCATATATCTGTACCTCCCGATATTCGGTATTTTGATAAGTTTAGCGTCGTTATTTACCGGAATTGTTTCAAATTTTGTATTTAAAGTTCGTAATGGATATTACAGCCTATGACAGAAAATTGTATGTGCAGGTCCACGTCTTCGTGTAGCCCCCATGTAACTGTACCTCTCGATATTCGGTATTTTAATGATTTTAGCTATATTATTCACCGATTTTTTTAAAGTTTCGTATATGAATATTGTAATGGCTTATGACAAAAGTTACCCATGCAGGTCCACATCGTCGTATAGACCCTTATATAATGGCTACATTCGTTATTATTAAGATTTTAACATAATTTTTAATGGATTTTATTTTTTTGAGAATTGTCAAATTAGTTCCAAATGGTGGAGGCTATTCAGCTTTTTTTCCTTGTTTTTTTTTTTTTTAAGTGAATTTATACAATTTTTTATTTAATTTAAAAAATATATATTTTTAAGGACCAACCATCGTGGATTTTTATGAGTACTTTTCAATATTTGTGGAATTTGTGAAATAAAATGCCCACAGTCCTACCGGAACAATAATTGTTCCTTCTTAGAATTCCTTGTTGTTTCTAGACAGGTTTTTGGATTTTAGAGAATATTTTATTTAAGGCACTTTGACCACATATCCTATTAATTTTGTATTTAAATGCCCCAAGGGGCAACCGACCAATAGTGGACGTTTTTAAAATAATGTTGTCCAACGTTTATCTGTTTCTGCTCCCCTCCATAGATTTTTTATTTCAGTCCTCATCGAATCCCATTGTTTACAATTTTTGATAGTTTTATTGTTTCGAACATTTGTGTTTTTTTCTCCATTTGTTGAAAATTCGACAGTGAGTTTCTGTGTCTGCTCTTTAATAATGTGCAAAATGTGTTAACAATTAAATAATAACAAAATACGAACAATACTTTTTTTAATACTATTAATTTATATTATTGCTATTGTTGTTGTTGTCATTATCTTTAATGTCATTTTTATTCTAAAATAATGATGCTGCCTTTATTTTCGCATTAATTCATGGCTCATTTTTTTGTTTTTTTTTTTTTTCTCTATTATTTTCAGTTTTCTATTGTTGTTTTTGTTACTTAATTTGTAATCCATTGACGATTATCGTTACGAATTGTAATGTTGGGGATTTGATGCAAAAAATTACACCCTGTCACAAGGGGGAAATTCTAAAGTCTAGCCGTAACGGCTGACTGGTCACATATATTTTCTAGTGACCAGTGGTGCCACTCCCTCCAATATTTGGCAACCGTATCAAACATTTTTTGGGTAAAAATTGGGAAATTTTTTTTCAAAAATGCATAAAAACAGAAATTTGTCTCCAAAAATGGACACAGTAAAACATAAAAATTTTAGACAGGTACCATTAGCCTTTAAAGAAGAGGAAAGCTTCATGCCATACTTTGGATACTTTACCAATTTTTTTTTTTTTTTCTTGAAAATTAGATAAATTTTTAATGCTCTAAGTGGCATCTCTGCTATCCACTAGCAACTTGTTAGCAAGTCAGCCAGCCTTAATGGCGATCACTCCCGTTCGTCATCGTCATTAAATTCGAAATTTAATGTTTTTTTGTTTTTTTTTTTATTTAATATTGAAATGCGAATTTTAGCTACTTAGAATTGCGCTGCTGTTCTCGCAGCGATTATTTACTAATCGCTGTGGCAATTTGTCGTTTACACCCAATGACGACGATGAGTCATCAAAAAATGTCATGTAAACACAGTGGTATAGTGGGACATACAATAGTGGGTCATTTTGAAAAAATTCTTAAAAATATTCACTGTTGAAAAACTCGTCGTATAGACCCTACCTCGCCCACCTCGTCGTATAGACCCTAATATAGGCTACATGCGGTGTTTTTAATATTTTAACATGATTTTCAACGAATTTTTTTTTTTGAAAATTGCCAAATTTGTACCAAATGGTGGAGGGTATACAACTGCTTTTTACTTGTTTTATTTTTATTATTACAAATTATTTTTTATTCCTATTAATATTGTTCTTATTGTTATTATAATTATTATTATTATTATTATTATTATTATTATTATTATTATTATTATTATTATTATTATTATTATTATTATTATTATTATTATTATTATTATTATTGTTATTATTATTATTATTATTATTATTATTATTATTATTATTATTATTATTATTATTATTATTATTATTATTATTATCATTATTATTATTATAATTATTATTATTATTATTATTATTATTATTATTATTATTATTATTATTATTATTATTATTATTATTATTATTATTATTATTGTTATTATTATTATTATTATTATTATTATTATTATTATTATTATTATTATTATTATTAT